GAGAGAGGAGGACGGATGGGCAACATAGGGGTCTGAGGGAATAGGGGACACCAGGAGGGGGCTACTGCAGAGGTCCGAGATGGACATATTGGTGGCTTGGCCTCACTTGATGTGGTGGAGATGAAGAGGGAGAAGGAGAAATGAATCCAGGCTGCACTGAGGGGGAAGACTTGGCAGGGCTGGGTTCTCTGGCACTGGGAAGTGAGGGGGAGGGAGGAGCAGGCATGACTCAAAGCTTCTGGTCTGGGCAGATGGGAGGACGGAGGCGCCATTTGCCGAGCTGAGTTGGAGACTTGGGAGGTTTGGGGGTGGTGAGGAGAGTTCAGGTTTGCACATGCTGAGGGTGAGGAGGCTGGCAGTGGACCCTGGTTCGATGGGCTGTGAGGAGGAGGAAACTGCAGGGAGCCGGCAGAACCATGTTCCAGTCTCTCCTCCCACACTTAGTCATGTGGCCTGGATCAATAACTTCACCTCTGTGTGCCTTCGCCTTCTCATCTATCCCGTGGGCCGTGGGGGTGCTCTGCCCTCCGAGCTGTGGTGAGGGTGTGGTGGCAGCCTCCTGCTTCAAGCCTTGTGGTGCCCTCCCGCACTGTAGTAGGGTTTATCTGTGGGACCGTAATAATATGTGTGTCGCTTTTGAGGTTGAGTTACAGAAGACATTGTGGCTTCTATCTTGCTGTCTCTTGGGTCACTTGCTCTGGGGGACATCCACTGCCATGTTGTCAGGAGAGACTCTCATGACAAGGAATGAATGCCTTGTGCTGAACGCCACATGAGGGAGTTTGGAAGGGAAGTCTCCAGGCTTCAGATGACTGCAGCCCCTACTGCCAATTAGACTGCAAGCTCCTGAGGGATCCTGAGCTGCTTCCAAGTCCCTGACCCACAGAAACGGAGGGGAAAGCGCTTGGAAGTTGTTTTAAGACCCTACCTTTTGGGATTATTTGTTATGTGGCAAAAGGTAACTGATACAGTGGGTAAAAGCACCTGGCACAGTACCTTGTACAGAATTGGGGCTATAGAATAGACAAGATCTATAGCTCTGGATTCAGGACAGAGGGCTGGCCCAGAGACATGGATTTGGAAGCCTTTGGCTCAGACACAGTAAAGGAACCCATGGAGATGGCTGAGTCATTCCATGGAGAGGGGTACATGGAGAGGAGGGGATGGTGTTGGACAGAAACTTGGGCATAAGTGTTGGGGTAAAGCAAGAGGAGCATCTTTGTAAGTCTAAGAGGAGGAGCTACAGAAGAAGGAGGAGAATGAAGAGAACACTCATCCTAGAAGCCAAGGGAAGGGGCTGTCCCCTGGCAGACGTCACTGCAGAGGCCTTGCTGTGGAGAAGACTGAGCCACGTAGGTCAGAGGAGGCTCTTTGGGATTTAGTATCAAGGAAGATTCTGGTGACCTATTTAGATGGAGAGGTGGGCCCTGAGGTCAGATTGAATGTTACGAGTTGGGGTTTAGGAGAAGTGGGGGACACAGCAAAGGAAGAGAGGGAGGGGGACACTGTGTCAAAGGAGAAGTCTGAAAATTCTTGAGTCAGACAGAGACCTGAGGCTGTTTATCTGCTGATGGGCGTGGGAGATGGGGACCGGAGAGAGGGAGGGATGGAAGATCTGAGCCTGGAGAGGCTAAAGGGCGGGAGAAGGAATGGACCAGAGCCCAGGGAGGGGATCACCTGAACAGGAGGTGGAATCCCCCAGCCATCTCATGAGGGGAGGGTAGCGCAATGCTGGTCAATCCAAAAGAGGGCAGAGGAGAGGTCCAGGGGGCTCCCACTGAAGGGGAAAGGTTTTCCTGACAAGTAGGAGGTGAGGTCAGCTAGGCAGTGAGAGTTGGGAGAAGAAGAAGGGAGAGAGGCAGGGGACTCAGAACTCCAGGCTTCATTCCTACCAATCAGTTGTGTCAACTGCTGGTCCCCCTTTGCCCTCCCAGCACCGTGCTGGGCTTGGTTCTTTCCTGTAACAGGTGTAGCTGCAATAATAAACAGCCTCCTCCAGGTCAGCCTGGCCCGGGGCAGACCAGGATCAGTGTCTTTACCACAGGAGCCTGGATACTTGGTGGCCACCTGGAAAAGAGAGGTGCAGAGGGTCAGGGGCAGCTGTAAACCAGAAGCCAGCCTTCCCCAGCAGGCTTGCAACCCTGAGCTCTATGGAGGCAAACAGCTTCCAATATAAACCCTTTCCACCCCCAATCCTCCAAACTAAGAGATCCAGATGGTTTGCGGGAGAATCCTATAGAACATTCAAATTCTATAGAAAATCCCAGTCTAGTGAATAGACACTCATTCCTTAAGGTATGTTATGAGCTCAAGTAACTTTGATAGCAAAGCCAGACGAGGAGAGAATAAGAATGGAAAATAGTAGCGTAATCTCAGTCATCCACATGGATACAAAAACCCTAATGAAATATTAGCAAATGGAATCTAGCAGTATATTGAAAAAATAATACATCATGATGTGTGAAATTCCTTGAATAAAAATATATTGACTTAAAAAAATACATCATCAAGGCGAGTTTATCCCGGGAACACGTCGATGGTTTAATATAATAAAATCCATGGTTGTAATTCATTACATTGCAATGGGGGGAATCTCACATTGATAAAATTCAGCACCCATTCATAGTAAAGAAGAATAGTGCTTCCTTACCCTGATAAAGAATACCTATCAAAAAAATCCACAACAAACACTATAGTTAACGATGATATGTTAGAAGCAGTCAAGAACAGGATAGAAATGCCCATTACCATCACTGCTCTTCAACATTGTGTGGGAGAATTTAGTCAGCACAGTACTGCAAGAAAAAGGAAAAAAAGGACGGGAAGATACTACACTGTTACGACTTGCAGATTCTATGATTATTTGCACAGCAAATTCAAGAGAACCTACAAACTTATTAGAACTGAAAGAGTTCAATTTTGCTGAATATAAGATTATGTAAAACCCAACTGCATTTCAATAGCCATCTATCGATTATAAAATACAAAAGTGAAAGTACAATTAGCAATAGTTATAAAAATTTTAAGATAGGAAGGACTAGGTCTGACAAAATCACCAACAACAAAATTAATCCATCAGTTTCTATATGTGGAAATAGAAGCCCTGAGAGGGGAAATAACTCTTCCAAGGACACCCAGTAAGTCAGAGGCAATTCTGGGTTATCAGTGGCACCAAATTCTGGAGATCTGAGTATTGGGTAATTTTGGTATTGTCCTTCTATTAAAACAACAACAACAACAAAACCCAGCGGGGTGGGGCGGGGCGGGGCGGGGGGCCAAAAAAACCACAAAAAAACCCCAAAATTCATTGTATTTTTCTGATTATAAATTCAATATTCATGAAAATTCAGAAGAATGTTAAGAAGCAATGCCATTAACATCCCCATACTATTATCTTGAACACGATGATCCTTCAACATTTTTGTCTGTATATATGTTTTTAAAAATAAAATCAGGATATCATGTATACTAGTTTGTGTACTGATCATTTTGGTCATTTTCACACACATTTCCCTGTATTCTCACCTAGTCTTTGTGAATTTGATCATGTAGCACTCGGGTATGTTGATGAAGCATATGTCATTTATTTAACCTATCAATTTGAGCTTTGGAGAAGAATCAAGTATCAGATACAACTGTGATGATCATGCTGATATAATTTCAACCCCAGAGCTAGCTCACACACATGCAGACGTGAAACCCAAGTAAGTTTCTAAGGCCAGTGGTTATTCTGGTGGAGAAGGTTAAACCCAGCATCAGGTAACTGGTCCCAACGGAAGGGGACAGAGGCCTGGCTAGTAGGAAGCGAATGGGACTTGGAATAAGTGGACGGATGGAGGCCAATTAGCCCTGAGGCGTTAGGAGCTGCCCATCCTCTGCAGTCTTGGCTTCCTTCCTGGTGAAGTGGGGACAATACCGGCGCCAGTCTCATCTAGGGCCGAGCTCCTCCAGGCCCCAGAGCCTTTGCACGGGTCGTTTCGTCTGCTGAAGGTGGCTCTGCCCTTCTCTCCACCTGGCTGTCCGTGTTGCTGAGCCTCTGGGCCCAGCTGTCCTTTGCTGTCCTGCCCACCAGGACGGAGGGGTGGCCGCGGGGGCTTCTTCACAGACCTCATCGCAGGGTTGTCTCCCCAGTGCAGGGCAGGCAGGAGGGGCTCCGACCGCAGGTCCGGGGTCCAGGTCTTCCTTGGCTACTGCGTTTGAAGCAGGGGCTCCCTTCCCTTCTCCATCTAAGTCCTCTAATCACGCCTCTCCCAACGCTTATGATCATAACCTGTCATTATTTTGTCTATTAGCTGTTTCCTTGAATCTTGTCTGTCTTCTCCTTTCATTAGGACCCGCTTCCGTCTTGGTGGCCGCTGTATCTCCTAAACCCCCGTCCTGAGATATAGTGGGGGCCCCATACAAGTTCATGAAATGACTAAGGAGAAACAGCTGTGGAAACACCAGCTCTGAGGACGCAGTGGGCCTGGGGCTGGGCGGACCCCAGGCTGCGGACGGAGGCGGGACGTAGGGGCGGGGTTTCGGGGCTTCGGGGCTTCTGAGCGGAGCCTAAGGGGCGGGACTGGGGTTTCGGGGCGGGGCTTCGGGGCTGCGGTTTTGCAGTCTTGACCGCGCGGCTCCGGCTGCGCTCGCTGAGTTCCTAAGGCCGCCTGGCTCTCTGGCTTCCCGCCCGCGCTGCCGTTAGGGGGCGCCCGCGCTCGTGGCGCCACGGCTCTGCTGGGAAGGCGCCGCCCGCGCCGGGCAGCTGGAGCCGCAACTCCGGGCGCGGGCTCAGTCGTCCCTTCTGCCGCCGCCGCCGCCGTCGCCGGGCGCGGGCTCGCTCGTCCCCGCGCTCGCGCTCTCCGGCCGCGGGCATCTCCCGGCCCGGCCGCCGCCGCCGCCGCCGCGCAGTGAGTGGGGCTGGCTTGGAGCTTGCGGGGCCGGGGCTTGGGAGGGCCGGGTTTCGGGAGACGTCTGCGCGGAGCGGCCAGGGGAGCGGGGCGGAGGATTATCTGGGCGGGGGCTCCTGGAACCGGGCGGCGGCGGGGCCGCGTTGAGGGGACCGCGCGTCCCGGGGCTGGCACGAGCCGGCGGCGGAGGTGCCCGCGGCGAGGCCTGGGCGGGGGTTCTGGGGCCCGCCCGCGGGGATGCGCGGTGTCTGCGGGCCCGGGTTCGGAGCTCCACGGCGCGCCCCTCGTCCGGGCCCGGAGCATCGCCCGCCCTACCCCTGGCCGGGTCGGGTTTGTGGGGGTTTCGCTGGTGGGGCAGCAGCGAAGCACGGCCCGGACGGAGACATTCGGGGTGTGCTCGAAAATGATTGTTTTTGGGAGATTGCGCTTATTAGCCACCAATTGCCCTAGTTTAAAGCGTGAGGCAGGACTCAAAACCCTGGCTTTGGGATTTTCTACCCTGAAGAGACACTCAGATTGCAGCTGAGTTCTTTATGCCTAGATTTGTGTGTGTGGTGGCGTTTTTAATGCTTGATGTCAGAGGTGATAAATGGCTGTGGTAATGGGGAGCCCTGGCAGCACCTGCTGGGCTGACAGTGGTGGAGGCTGTGTCTGGGGGCGGGACGGGGAAATGAAACGTGACAGAGATCCTGTTTGGATATTCTGCTGAAGTTATCATGTTTCTGTTCAAGTATACCAGTTCTAGAACAAGTTGATGGATCCAATTTTAGGACTTTGTGATAGAAGAGGTTTGGGTGGCAAAGTGACCTGGGATGACCCGGCTCGGCTAAGAATATTTGGGGTAGCCTAAGCATCTCTTCCATATCCCCCTGGCATGTTCTTTTTTTCGCTGTCACAAATGCCCTATTACTTGAATCATCCTGGGATAGGAGAGAAGCTTGGGGACAGCATGTAGCACAGTCCTGAGCCCAAGATTGAGATGTTTTCAAATGAATAAATATGTAGCTAGGAAAAGGAAAATGGTTTTGTCAGCAGGGTTGGTAGGTTGAGAGAATTTTCTCTTTGGCCGAAAACCATCAGTCCATACGGATACTTGATTTTGTGCTATGCTTTAGATATGAACGATGGAGTGGAGTGGTCAGGATAGCCACGGATGCCATCCCAAAGTTTTATGATTTGAATTTTCATAAATCATATTTTAACCAAAGCATTACTACTTACAGAAATCTTAGGGTGAACCCTATGAATCCTTCGGTGCGTTTGGATTTTGGTATTTGGGGTCCATTTAAAATGGAGTACATGTTTGTATTTGGATTCAGCTTTACCTTGGAGATAATCCTGAGTCATGCTTTAAGGAAGTTCCTTCTGAGATCAGGAGCTCAGATGTTGGGTGATCTCTGGGAAAACTAGACACTCCCCTTTACCTGTATGTAGTTCTCCCTTCTGGAGCTCTGGGAAAAAGAGGACCCGGGGAGATTTAGAGCAAATTAAGAGGCTGCCTCCTCCATATTTGCCGTCTCCAGGCCAATGCTCTAAATTACTTGTGTTCACACTCAAGTTTTTCATGTTAACGTAGAAATTTTGTTTATGCTGCTGCCACTAGTGTTTTCACATTTGTCTAATACTTGCCAGTTTACAGATGGTTTTATATTCATGATCTCCTTTATTTTCTCCATTTCCCCAAAGAAGAAGCTGAGCATAAAGAGTGATTTTCTCAGGGTCTCATAATCAGTAATGGAGCAAAATTCGACTACAGGACCTCCCTGGGAACCTGTTCTCTTTCCTTGTCCTGTGATGTGTTACACTTATAGGCCAATTTTTGCTTTTGTGTAGTGCCTAAATGGTGTAATTACTTTTGGGAAGATGGTATTAGCCCGTCTTATCTTTCGGAAACTGAAGGTTAAGAGGAGTGTTATGATTTTGTGACAGCTTTTTAATATTAGGTCACTTTTAAACCTATAACTCCTCTCTTCTTGACCACATGGTTGAGAGAGGAGAAAGAGAAAATGATTACTTTTAGAGAAAAATCCATTTCTGCAGTGGTATGGTTAAGGATAATCTAACACCATAATCACATTATCCTTGTATGCCTGGCTACTTGTGGTGGCCTGTATGTGAATGTTAACCCCAAAGGCTCCTTTAGATGTCGCTGAACTAGTTACTATAAAAAGTATTTCACTTTCAAACTCCCACATTTCAAGAAGAGCAAAACTCAGTACAAAGGCAATTTTGAAGGTAAGTATAGAAAGAGGGAGTTTATTGAGTCTTTTCTGACTACCAGACACGAAGGTTTCATTAAAAACGCATTTTAAAGGGCTGCCTGGAAACTCTGGGAAGTCAGTAGTTGGAAGTTTTTATTTTTCATTGAAGTTCGGAGGTTTTTATTGCAACATATAGGTAGTTATACAGGATTAGGACTTTTGCCCTGGAGAATTCTTAATCTATAGCAAGAATGATAAACCCAGAATATTGTTAAGTTGATTCATCATAACCATGAGGCCTGAAATTGCAATTCTGCAGTGACAGGGAGAATGGCATTTAAGGGTTCTTAGGTTACTTTTTTAAGTTATTAACTTACTGAATTATGCATTCTTCATATATACTACTTTAGAAAATTAATATTTTCTTTTAAGGCTTCTGTAAATTCTTCAGTATGTGTTTTCTTAAGCTTAATTACCTGCTAACATGACACTGTCAGAATTTATACATTAGTCACAATAACCTTTGAAGCTTAAACATGGGTGAATTTTCAGCACTGCTTTATATTCTTTGGGGAATGGTCAGTGTTGTTTTCACAAGAATTTTATTTGCATCAAAGGTTACATCTTTTCAGGTGAACTGATTTTACAGGGTCAGAGGCTTCTTTGAACTTTATAGCTGTTTGTGCTTGGTTGCGTTTGCTGTCTTTCAAAACTATCTTTAGTTTTAGTAGGGAAAGTCACTGTAAAGGAAAACTTTTTTCATTTTTCATTGTTACCATTCCTGGTAGATTTTCTGAAATAGTAGATATTTATTTGCTTTCATCAAGTAAAACCGGCCTATTTGATACTCATTTCAAGATCTTCCTTCTGCTGCCTGTCTTGTGGTCATTTAACTTCTCATTAAGCCCTCCACTGGAGACTGTGCCAGAAGGGAGAGAAGATGAAAAGCAAATGAATCATTTTGTAATTGTTAGTAGCTCTGGAAAATGATTTAGTAGAAGAGATTGAAACTATTCTGGAAATTCTTTGGGATTGTATTTCATTCATCTGCATCATTTCAGAGATGTTCCTAATGGTCGTCAGTTCAGAATTCAGAAATTGACCATTATCCAGCTATTGTATAACAAGGAATTCTTCGTGCTTTTTTGTTTGTTTGTTTCTTGCTGTATTTAAGCATCTCCACAGAAGATATTTAGAAGCAGCTAGAGATAAAATTTAAACTAATCAATACTGTTTTTTCCCTTTGAACTCTTTAATGAACAATTTGATTTCTTTAGACAGTTTAGTCATTGTTATTGGAAGTGACTAATAGTGACTTTGCTTCAATTTATTTTGATGTATCTTATACACAAGTATAGGAAGGCTTTTGGGTCCTTTTTAAGAAACATGGGCTGTAGATTCCCATAATTGCTTTCCTGAATTATTAAGCGTGAGCTTTCATTACATCTTTGTACCAGAACTTTTGCTTTTGCTGTGGAACAGATTCAGGGACAGCATCTAATTTTTTTTTTTTTTTTTTTTTTTTTTTTTAGATAACTGCTCAAGAAGTTATCCTGTTTTGATTTAGCGGTAAAAAAGAAAAAAGGGTTAATAGTGGACAGGCTTGGCCGGGCGCGGTGGCTCAAGCCTGTAATCCCAGCACTTTGGGAGGCCGAGATGGGCGGATCACGAGGTCAGGAGATCGAGACCATCCTAGCTAACACGGTGAAACCCCGTCTCTACTAAAAAATACAAAAAACTAGCCGGGCGAGGTGGCGGGCGCCTGTAATCCCAGCTACTCGGGAGGCTGAGGCAGGAGAATGGCGGGAACCCGGGAGACGGAGTTTGCAGTGAGCTGAGATCCGGCCACTGCACTCCAGCCTGGGCGACAGAGCGAGACTCCGTCTCAAAAAAAAAAAAAAAAAAAAAAAAAAATAGTGGACAGGCTTTTCGTTAACGGCTGCAACATTGATGTCTGCTTTTTTCCTTGTCTTTGATCTTCTGTTTCTCATTTAATCATTTGGATATTCATGGATTGGAGTTCTTTATGTCACTACAGACGGAGGACAGCAGCCATTATTCACACTAGTTGAATGGGTTCCTGCCTTTTTTTGGTGGCCGGGAAGGGCCTCAGGAAAATTTTTACAAACCCGTTATGACTAGTTAAGCTGAGTTACTGTAAAATTTGTAAATAAAACCCTACTGGGTGGATAGGGTTAATAGATGGCTATAGAGAGTTTAAAGTTAATCCTTTTCAATTTCTTGTCTCTTGGATTCTGTTCTTTCAATTTCTACCCTAGGAGGGGATTTATGGAAAAATCTAGACTAAGAGTCAGAACATGCGAGTTCTTATCTAGTTACTTCCCAGCTGTGGCGCCTCCAGCTAGTCACTTAATCTGCCTTGTTTCTCTGTTTTGCATCTTTAAGATGAGGATAGTAATCCATGCTCAGCCTACTGGTATCAGGAATGTTGTAGGGGGAAGAAGTTTTTCATGCCCCTGTCTTTTAAATTGTTTCTTCTTTCTAGAATCCCTTCTCAGGTTGCCCAAATTTTCTTTCAAGGATTCAACTGAGTGGGCTCTTCCCAGAGGTCCTCCATTTTCCCATTTGGAATCTTGCTTTTCCCCTCTTGCAGGCCTCTGCTGGTCCATCTGTTACATAGCGCTTTGAATTCTGTTCTGTACTTCGGTCATTGCATGTTGCCTTCCATTATAGATGGAAAGCTCCATGAGGGCAAAGATTGTTCTTTTCCTCTTTCTGTGTATCCACATTGCACATAGGCATAAATAGCCCACAATAATTGTTGGTTGAATGAATGATTATTGAGGCTGTCAGGAATGAATACTTTGGGTGATGGGAAAATGCCAAAGATGAGCATCTTACCAGCACTTTTGGATGAGTGGCCTTTTAAATTGCTCAGTTGCTAATCTGTTGTTATCAGTAACTGAATCAGATCCTGGCAAGACAAATTGGCAAAGCCCATTTCTTGGTCCTGTTTACCTCGGATACTATTTGTGAAGCAAGCCAGAGGAATGAAAGACTGTCGTACCAGTCTTGAATTTGACATTTGTTCCATTTCTCACCCCATAGCATGTGGAGGCCTATCTATATCCAGCTGCTGAGTGTAAAGAATACAAACTGACTGCCCCATAGCCTGCTCCACATTTTAGTTTGTGTGCTTTGAAGGATTTGCAAGGTAGAGAAATAGATGCTTCAGGCTCTGATTTCAGCCCATGCTGTGCTATGCAAATGTTCTCTACATGCCTGAGTGACCTTTTGAGAAAGAGCCTTTGTGATCTTCTATAGCCAGGGCTTGTTCTGGGAATTCTGTGCCAGATTCCTCTAAAAGTGGGAAAAGTGGATCTGTTAAAGGACCACGTAAAAAAGCTGGTGCTTTTCCTGGATGAATACCAATAATTCCATGTTTCTTACCATCTCTTGCCAGAGCTTTAGAAATTTGCTCTGCAGTTTGCTTTGCAGGTTGATTTGGGATTGAAGTGTGTGAGAGGGAACTGACTAAGGCAGTTCAGTAGCTGGGAAACTGTTTGTTTAAGTGCTTTTGAATTGTAGATAAAAATAAATTCACATTGGCATCATTAGTATCTGAGCATTTCTCAGTGTCTTAAGGCTGGCTCTCCATGAGTGCTGGCTGATTGAGTCTCATCTGTATTGGTAAGGTTCTTTTCGCCCCAAATTGTGCTCTTAACAGTTTGGCATTTAAATCGCTTTCTATTTGTTTTAATTGTTGTACAAAGAGAATTACATCATTATTAAAAAACATCATTATTATTATTTTTTATATTATGAGATAAATACCATTCTGATGTATTTCTCTGGGAAAGGGATGCTGGTGTCCTGGGAGGTTTATGATTTTTGATGCTTTTACTCAGGTGACTGGCTTGTACAGCCGAAACGCTGATGAAAAGAAGTTTTCCCCTTCTCCCTTTTCCTTTTTTCTTTTTTTTTTTGAGATGGAGTCTCGCACTGTTGCAGGGGCTGGTGTGCAGTGGCACAATCTCGGTTCACTGCAACCTCCGCCTCCCGGGTTCAAGTGATGCTCCTGCCTCAGTCTCCTGAGTAGTTAGGATTACAGGCGCCCGCTACCACGCCCGGCTAACTTTTTGAATTTTTAGTAGAGATGGGATTTTACTATGTTGGGCAGGCTGGTCCTGACCTGGTGATCCGCCTGCCTCGGCCTCTCAAAGTGCTTGGATTACAGGCATGAGCCACTGCGCCCCGCCTCTCCCTTTTTCTTAAATGACCTTTTTGGTGAGGACCATTATAGGTTTGTACCAGGATAAGGTTGTAGAGTTAATCATAATGTTCTCATATAAATTCTAAAAATTGATTTTCTAAGAAGAGAGGTAGAATTTGAACGACTGGGTTGCTTCCTAGACTCTTTCTCCTTCTCTTAAGTACCGGATAGTTATTTCTCTGAAAATCTTCAGTCTCTTAGTTCCAGATGGGTTCTCTATGGTAAGAATACAGGACATGAAGGCCCTAGGGGAATGCTTTCTTCCCCAGATCTTTGCCCTACAGTAGGTTTCAGCTGAGCAAGGACGAGTAGTTTTTCTGGTGTTTGGCCTCCTCTGTTGGGTGGAAAAAAACCTTTCTTCTTTATGTTCATAGTTATATATGCTATCATATGTCTGTTTTTCTCCTCTTGAAGTTTCCCTGAAACCTGGGCTCTTGAAGACGCATCACTGGAGCAGATGGATAATGGAGACTGGGGCTATATGGTGAGTGCTTCTTGGAGATGCATTTTGAAGGCTGGGGAATTATTTTTGTGTGTACATAAGGATAACTTATGTATTTTTAGGTATATCTTATAAGAAAAGAAAATTGTGAATTTGTGTAACCTCTCTGCCCCCTTTTACTTAGTTTAGATGTATTTTGGAGGTTGTTTTTGTCTTGTGTGGTGTTTTTAAAATTTTTATTTTATTTTTAAATTTTTTTTATGTGGAGTCTTGCCCTCTTGCCCAGGCTGGAGTGCAGTGGTGTGATCTTGGCTCACTGCAACCTCCACCTCCCAGGTTCAAGAGATTACAGGTGGGCACCACCATGTGTGGCTAATATTTTGTATTTTTTGTAGAGACAGAGTTTTGTCATGTTGCCCAGGCTGGTCAGCAACTCCTGGGCTCAAGTAATCCACCCTCCTTGGCATCCTAAAGTGCTGGAATTACAGGTGTGAGCCACCACGCCTGGCCTGTTTTTTTCTTAAATAGTGTTTCTAAAACTGAAGGTATTTTTTTTTTTTTTTTTTGAGACGGAGTCTCGCTCTGTTGCCCAGGCTGGAGTGCAGTGGCCGGATCTCAGCTCACTGCAAGCTCCGCCTCCCGGGTTTACGCCATTCTCCTGCCTCAGCCTCCGGAGTAGCTGGGACTACAGGCGCCCGCCACCTCGCCTGGCTAGTTTTTTGTATTTTTTAGTAGAGACGGGTTTCACCGGGTTAGCCAGGATGGTCTCGATCTCCTGACCTTGTGATCCACCCGTCTCGGCCTCCCAAAGTGCTGGGATTACAGGCTTGAGCCACTGCACCCGGCCCCTGAAGGTATGTTTTTTAAGAGAAGCTTGCTTCTCAAAATTAAAGGCCAGATTGCAACATTAATGTTACAAAAGTGAATACACTATCAGATTATGAAATTTTATGGCTGCTGTTAGCTTTTGGGTATGTGATGATTTTTTGACTAAACTGTATATTTTAACTTAGTATTTGAAAGTATCACTTCCATGAAAAAGTTACCAAGATTAAGTCTGCACAATTTTTAATTAAATTAATTAATTAATTATTTTTGAGACAGAATCTCTCTGTGTTGCCCAGGCTGAAGTGAAGTGGCGTGATCTTGGCTCACTTGCAGCCTCCACCTCCCAGATTCAAGTGATTCTCATACTTCAGCCTCCCAAGTAGCTAGGACTACTCAGGCACTACCATGCTCAGCTAATTTTTTTTTGTATTTTTAATAGAGATGGGGTTTTGCCATGTTGCCCAGGCTGGTCTTGAACTCCTGAGCTCAGGCAGTCCGCCTGCCCCGGCCTCCCAAAGTGCTAGGATTACAGCCATGAGCCACTGCACCCAGCCCAAACTTTTATTTTAAAAACAAATTTCATAGTTTATTCCTTTTGTTTGAAGGGGAATAACCCAAAGAAATACTGAAAGTAAATGTCTATATTATCAGATCATTTTAATTCTATCTTATGTTAAATTAAGTTCAGAAAAATGCAAGCCTTTAAAAAAAATCAGAAAAAAATAAGTGTATTTTAGCGTGGCTTTTCCCTTCTCACAATATATTCTGACCTGAACATTCTGTAGAGAATGGGCCTGAAATGATGTGGCTCTGGAAGTCAGTGCCCTGGATTCTTAGCGTAAGTCTTTACATAATTGGATTTATCCTTGTTTTTTTTTCTATTGAAAGCAAATGTTAGATCGCTTCATCCTGGGTGGGTTTATTGCTGGTAGTAAAGTCATTTTGCATTAGAGGATTACTAAATACATTATAGCCTGAAAGAATCTTGGGCTTTGCTCAGTATCACTTACTTTCTTAATTTGCCAAAGTTGGTATTTAAAAATTTCAGGTGACTGATCGTTTCTTTAAAAATTTCAGATGACTGACCCAGTCACGTTAAATGTAGGTGGACACTTGTATACAACGTCTCTCACCACACTGACGCGTTACCCGGATTCCATGCTTGGAGCTATGTTTGGGGGGGACTTCCCCACAGCTCGAGACCCTCAAGGCAATTACTTTATTGATCGAGATGGACCTCTTTTCCGATATGTCCTCAACTTCTTAAGAACTTCAGAATTGACCTTACCGTTGGATTTTAAGGAATTTGATCTGCTTCGGAAAGAAGCAGATTTTTACCAGATTGAGCCCTTGATTCAGTGTCTCAATGATCCTAAGCCTTTGTATCCCATGGATACTTTTGAAGAAGTTGTGGAGCTGTCTAGTACTCGGAAGCTTTCTAAGTACTCCAACCCAGTGGCTGTCATCATAACCCAACTAACCATCACCACCAAGGTCCATTCCTTACTAGAAGGCATCTCAAATTATTTTACCAAGTGGAATAAGCACATGATGGACACCAGAGACTGCCAGGTTTCCTTTACTTTTGGACCCTGTGATTATCACCAGGAAGTGTCTCTTAGGGTCCACCTGATGGAATACATTACAAAACAAGGTTTCACGATCCGCAACACCCGGGTGCATCACATGAGTGAGCGGGCCAATGAAAACACAGTGGAGCACAACTGGACCTTCTGTAGGCTAGCCCGGAAGACAGACGACTGATCTCCGACCCTGCCACAGGTTCCTGGAAACACGGAAAATACTGATTTTTTTTTTTTTTTTTTTTAAATTACAGTGTGAGATTTTTTTTTTCTTTTAAATATTTGTATTTATTTGAAGGCAGTGAGGACCAGAAGGAAGTTTTGTGCTTTGGCACACTCCTCCGTGTTTTGTTCCCTTCCTCCTGAGTATGCATGTGCCTGTTCAGAGTCTCCAGATACCTTTTTTATAAAAAGAAGTCTGAAAATCATTATGGTATATAATCTACCCTTAACAGAGCTTTTCTTATTACAGTGCTAGAATGATTTCTGATAAAATGGTCCCTAACTCAACTAGAAGGCTAAAAATACAAGAATGAAAGAATAAGCAGAGTACTCATGATGCCTTTGAGAAAAATCAAAACATCATGTAGGGTGACCTAGTTTCCAAACCAATAAATAAGTAGTATTGTAATATTAAAGGAAAACTGTTCCAATCATTTAAAAGTACTTATTAAGTACTGCTTTTTACAGTTATGGCAACTGTTTCTTTCTATGCATATAAATCAAGGAACCAAATATCTGTAGCCATGGAAATGTCTGACTAGAAATATTTATATTGAATTCTGAATACAAAATGTCCCTGTGGTAGAAATCTTACTCTTTATGCCTGGTGCAGTATAATTCTCAAGTGTACTGTCTACCAGAAAAAAAAAAAAAAAAACTAATAAAAAATGAAATATGAAAATTAAGTTTGTATTTATTGATTATTATTAAGGGGAGAAAATCATATTCCTTGTCTAAAATATGCATTGTTTATGTCCCATTGTTTACTGCCTGTAGCATATTTGTATTTAATTTGAGAGGCCACAGTGGGATCTTAGGTTGCAGTTTATAAGAATTGTTGTGTCATTGAAGCAAGGATGGATGGAATTATTAATTTTGACTGAAAGGGTGCGTATTTGAACAGTGAACATACAGTTTTTCATATTTTTCAAAATAATTTATGTTGAAGATTACAGATTTTTCTTTAATTGCCCACGGTTCTATGACCATTATTTCAGTTTTCTGCTAAGCACAGGAACAAAATGACTCTAGCCCTTTATGCTCATGTTTTGTGGTGATCCACAAATGTATTTTGTTAACAAAGTTAAGTTTATTTCTGAAGAGAAGGAACAAACTGCAGTGAATGAAGGACCTAGAACAGTTGAAGAAATACACGTACTTTTATTTCTTTCCCTGTAGTCTTATTTTTAACTCATAGGAAGGATTATTTTAATTATACTGAGACTTCCTACTTTGTTAGACCACCGTATAAAAGGAAGTCGTGTAATTTATTCCCTATTTTCTAAGGGAAGAGTGGAACTCTGAGGCTGTGTGCCCTGGGGCAAGCAGGCCCCTCCTTTTCTCTTTCTCTCTGTGAGAATATTCTAAGGTTCTCTCTCTGCAAAGAAGATGACAGCACTTCCTTATGTCTATTTTTGCACGTCTCTGAAAATTTATTTTAAAATTTGACAAATGACCAACATCCAGAAACCTATAATTAGCCTATTTTCACCATCTTCAAACTAAGATCCTTTGATGTTATTGACAGGTTGCTGTGGTTTCAGTAAATCCATATACGAGTACGAGTTTATCATTTTGGAAAATTATCTTGTATTCAAAATTGATTTGATAGTTACCTTAAAAAAAAAAAAAAAAGGCCCAACCAGTTACGTGTTGTTGAACTAGCTGAGGTCAATATGAAATAAAATGATTTGGGTTGAAAACAGGTGTGGAAATAGGAATAATGCTAGTTCCCAGTTTTTATTTTTTTTTAATTTTTAAATGATTTTTATTTATTTATTTTTGAGACAGTGTCTCACTCTTGTCACCCAGGCTGGAGTGCAATGGCGTGATCTTGGCTCACGGCAACCTCTGCCTCCCAGGTTCAAGCGGTTCTCCTGCCTCAGCCTCCTGAGTAGCTGGGATTACAGGTGTGTGCCATCGTACCCGGCTAATTTTTGTATTTTTAGTAGAGTTGGGGGTTTTACCATGTTGACCAGGCTGGTTTTGAACTCCTGACCTCAGGTGATTCACCTGCCCTGGCCTCCCGAAGTGCTGGGATTACAGGTGTGAGCCACTGCGCCCGGCCCAAGTTTTTTAAAGTTAAAAACTTATAAGGCCTCTTCTTTGTCCTGTTTACTGGAGATAAGTTTGCTTTTGGTAAATTTTCTCAAATTTACTAATTATTAACAATGAAATGATTGTTTATATGAGTAAATTAGGAAAAGTAGCCAGCTGAATTTTTTTTTGTTGCCATTTTACTTGTGACATTTAGAGTGTTTTGTCTAATTGGGTAATTGAAAGTGATATGAAAAATGTAGCTTCATTATATTTGGGTAACTTGAGACAGTTATGTCTTTTAATGAAATTTTAAATCATTTTCACTGTGGAAGAGTTGATTTTTAAAAAATGATAGTTGCATTCTTCGAGCTGTATTTTATTTAGATTACAGCAAGTATAAGCACTTAGGAGGATTGTGTGTGTGCATGTATGTGTGTCCTTTTAAACCCAAGGATAAGTGTGTGCTAAAAACACACTAACTAATGAGCCTATTGGCTTTTGCTAGATCTAAAGCAAAATCCTGGTATTTAACCAAATAGATGCTATAAATGGACAGTGGTGCGGTTTTACTGTGGGAAACTTCTTTTCTTTTTTGAGATAGTTCTTACTCTGTTGCTCAGGCTGAAATGCAGTGGTGTGATCACAGCTCACTGCAGCCTCAACCTCCTGGGCTCAGGCAATAAGCCTCTCAATAGCTGGGACCACAGACATGTACCCCTGGCCAATTTTTTATAGTTATTTTCATAGAGATGGCATCTCTCTATGTTGCTCAGGCTGGTCTTGAACTTCTAGGCTCAAGTAATCCTCTTGTCTTGACCTCCTAATGTGTTGGGATTACAGGCATGATCCACCCTTCCACCGGAAATTTGAAACACATTCAGAAGTAGAGAGAATAGTGTAATGAACACCCATGTACCTGCCCATTACCCAGCTTCAACAACTATTCACTTTGACTTTTTTCTCCTATGGATTATTTTGAAGTAAATCACAGATATTATTTCACATATATCACTTCAGACTGTATTTAAAAGATAATGACTCTGAAACATAAATATCTAATTTAAAATTTTAATGTTGCATATATGCCATAGTACCATTATCACATGATGGTGCTTGTTGCTTCCTGAATACTGTTGGTTATTTCATAGCTTGGATCTCCAACTTTGTAATAGTGGTCTTATATATTCCTCATAGGCAGGGTTCTCCTGTTTGTAGAAAGAAACGCATTATTAAGACTACATTTCTGCCAGGACTAATGACTTTTACTTTCAAATTAAGTCTTTAGCTTCAAAAAGTAACATTACGTAAGATTCTTAATTTTAAAAATTATTTCTAAAACTCATTTTGTGTGAACATATGGAGAAACATTTTTTCCAAAGGGCATCCTTCCTTTTCTCATGCAGATTTTAAATTGTGGATGCAGGTGGCCAATTAAAAACACAGCTTATCACTTGCTTTTGGAATTTAATACAAATAAAAGGCTTGACTCTTTGAGGCTCTCTGAAACTGAATATTAATCACAAAGCAAGGAACCAGATAGGGATCATATAAGCAGTATTCTAGGTCCGACTAGGTTATCTTTATGCTGTAATTCAGCGTCTTGGTTCTTTGTTTCTAGTCTCATCTTTTACAATATTTACTTTGTGTGTGTGTGTATGTGCCTGTCTACACTAAAACTGTAAGCTCCTCGAACACTGGGCTTTTGACTCTTTTTTTTTTTTTTTTTTGGAGACAGGGTATTGCTCTGTTGCCCAGGCTGGAGTGCAGTGGTGCTATCTTGGCTCACTGCAACATCCGCCTCCTGGGTTCAAGCAATTCTCGTGCCTCAGCCTCCTGAGTACCTTGGATTACAGGTGTGCACCACCATACCTGGCTAATTTTTGTATTTTTAATAGAGACGGGGTTTCGCCATGTTGGCCAGGTTGGTCTTAAACTCCTAACCTCAAGTGATCCACCTGCCTCAGCCTCCCAAAGTGCTAGGATTACAGGCTTGAGCCACTGCACTCAGTCTGGGTTTTTGACTCTTGTTCTCCAGTATATCTTCAGTATCTAGAATAGTTTTTGGCACAAAGCATGTACTTAGTAAATATTTGTTGAATTATTAAATGAATGAATCAGTAGATGTATTTAATGCATCTAACTCCTACTTGGACAGATTTTTACAATAGAATAATTGGGGAAAAACAGGATTTTTATTTTGAAATTATCCCCAATGATTCCTCCCTTAAACCAAGAAAGCACATCATCCTGTCCAGGGATAAAGCTCAACACTGCCCCAGACAGAAGAGAGCTTCTCCTATGATTCTAAAATATTTACCTTAGCATAGCACTTTTCTTTTGGTAGAAAAATGTCAGTGAAATATATTCGTGTTTGTACTTTCATGTCTACAGGGCGTGTTTCAACATAGCTGCTCTTTTATTTAAAATATCTGCCAGGCGTGGTGGCTCACACCTATAATCCCAGCACTTTGGGAGGCTGAGACCAGCCTAGCCAACATGGTGAAACCCTGTCTCTACTAATACAAAATACAAACTAGCTGGGTGTGGTGGTGTGTGCCTGTAATCCCAGCTACTTGGGAGGCAGGAGAATTGCTTGAACCTGGGAGGCGGAGGGTTGCAGTGAGCCGCGGTTGTGCCACTGCACTTCAGCCAGGGTGACAGAGCGAGACTCCGTCTCAAAAAATAATAATAATAAAAATACATAAAATATCTGCAGTGTGCCTTTTTCTATTAGTGCAAATGAGGAAAATATCTCATTGCAGCTTCAAAATTATAGCATTATATTTTAAGAGTAGGATTAAAAAATTATCCACAGCAGATTAAAAAATACACTTTAAAAGTGCTATTTTGGTGATCTCTAAAAGGAGCCAGAAATGTAAGATCATGTACGTTAGCAGGCAGCCTCATGTCATTTTAACTGACTGGAAACAGTTCACAAGGTCATTTGTAACTTCACATTCCCAAATTATCATTCGTGAAAGATCCACAGTGCTATACCTGTCACCTTTTTAGGAAGGTAATATAAGCTAGGATGACAAGAGTCTGTGGCACTGTGTATGCAGCAGATTCCTTCATCTCACTACGTAGGTCGTAAAACCATGTTCATTTATTCCATAAACGTGGAGTGTCTACTCCGTGATAGATCCTGGAGTTGGGAAGGTGACTCCTTTGTTGTTCACAGTCAAGTGGAAGGAGATAGAAGTGAATGGGATGAAGTGCATCAAATGTTTTCCCAAATGTGTTGAGCCTCTGGGTCAGTCATTCCTCTCGTTTAGATAAACATGTTCTCGTGTAGTATCCAGATTAAACTCTTTTAAAATAAATATTAAAACCAAACTAAAACACAAGAAAGCCCCCTCCATTCTCTCTAGAGAAACCAGAATGTTTGCTGTGTTGCCAGTAAAACAAGTTTGAGCTATATATGTCAGCATTTCTGACAGGTGTTATAGCAGGGCAGGCTTTTCTCTGGAGCCCCAAAGGGCTACATTTATCTTTAGACCATGGGAGCTAGTGTGGAGTGGGAGGACTGCTATATTTTTATGCCAAGATTTAAATGTTAGAAAGCAGAGAGATCTAATCATTAGAAAAAGTAACACACTGGAAGTAGGTTAACTGTACTAAAGTAGTGAACATATATTGTTTATGTTTCCTTGAGTTAAAAGGATGTCTTTCTGGGGACAGGGAGTGACCAAGATGGGTTAGTTGTGTTGTAACTTTAGATAGTCATGTTAAATTAAGCCATGTGGTATGACAGGCTGCAAATTGTTAAGAACAAGTCTAACACCATGCTAGGTGTGAATGAAAGCCTGAGAGTTGCCAATTTGATGTGGTGTTAAGACACCTTTTCTGAAATTGGATCAAAGAGGTAAAAAAGAAAGCTTCACCACCTGAATAATGTATTGGCACTATAAAATTTAAAATAATCTGTTGTGTACCTATCGACTTTTTGTTTTGATCATCTATGTAAAATCTGCTATTAAATATTGGTTCCTCATATTCTAACTACAGGGTTTATTTCCTCACTCCTGTTAACATATTCACTGACATTTACAACTTTTGTCAAAGAGGCTCATAAGCAGAGAGCTGTGAGCATACCCTGGCCCTAGAGTGTTGGGACCTTATGAGTCCTCCCCGTCTTCTCACTGGTAATGATGTAGAGTTCTGGTGTGCTCTCCTAGGATGGCTGGGGATTTTTTTCATGACCCTTGTAATTGTCACTTATATGGCTTTCCTGGGCTACTGATGGCAGTGCAACAGCTTTCTTTGCTCCTTGGATTGTATTCCTTAGAGTGAAGAGGAGAGGGTATCATCTCTAGCAGGCAATCAGGTCTGAGAGAGACATCCCTCAAGCTTCCTACCACTTCCAAATACCCACTTTTATCTACACAAAACTGAAAGTTAAAAGGCTGAAAATAAGGTGGTTAAATCACCGCAGTGATTTATCTCCTTCTTTTTGTTACTTAAAAGCCAGTTTACCACTCTGTGTGTATGCCCTTGGGTCTGTCAAGCCATGATTTAGAGCTTGGGCCTTCCTCTTAATTCCCTTTACTAAGTTCCAAGCAGTGCATTTTGCTGATTACAATCCAGGCTTAGAGTTCCTGCCAGGCCATACTGCCACTCCTGGTTTCTTTTATGTGTTCTCTAAAAATATTTTATTTTTTATTTTATTTTATTTTATTTTATTTATTTTTTTTGAGATGGAGTCTTGCTGTGTCACCCAGGCTGGAGTGCAATGGCGCGATCTCGGCTCACTGCAAGCTCTGCCTCCCGGGTTCACGCCATTCTCCTGCCTCAGCCTCCCTCCTGACGGGCGGACTACAGGCGCCCGTCACCACGCCTGGCTCATTTTTTTGTTTTTTGTATTTTTAGTAGAGACAGGGTTTCACTGTGTTAGCCAGGATGGTCTCGATCTCCTGACCTCGTGATCCACCCGCCTCGGCCTCCTAAAGTGCTGGGATTACAGGCATGAGCCACCGCGCCCGGCCTCTAAAAATATTTTAAATAGACATGCTACGCTAAGTGATTGCCAACCTAATGGAAATCAGTTAAAATAGGAGAACATGCAGGTGTATTCACTGCCTGCTCTCTGCTTTCTTACATAATTTATAATGTGTTCCACTCAACTACCTGAGTATTGGTTGGTGACTTCTGAGCCCACTGGAACAGGCGTTCATAAACATTTCCATCATAACAGCCAAGTGCTGAATTTAAACACTCATCGGTGAAGTCAAAAGCATCAGTTAACAGGATGGCATCCTTCCTGGGATAGGAAACAAGAGTTTGTAAGTATTTTAGATTGCTCTTATGAATCAAACTAGTCTTGGATGGTGAATAACAATACCTAATTAGAGGTTGCATGATTATTTGCTTTTCAAACAATTCAGCTTTTTTTTTTTTTTTAGTTTTTAGTTTTTAGTTTTTAATCAGTTATATATGCATAGTATAATGAGTCAAAGAGTTCCTTAAGGCTTGTTTAAAAAACAGCATATCCGGCCATGCGCGGTGGCTCACACCTGTAATCCCAGCACTTTGGGAGGCTGAAGCAGGCGGATCATGAAGTCAGGAGATCGAGACCATCCTGGCTAACACGGTGAAACCCCGTCTCTACTAAAAATACAAAAAATTAGCCAGGTGTAGTGGCACGTGCCTGTAGTCCCAGCTACTCAGGAGGCTGAGGCAGGAGAATCACTTGAACCCAGGAGGCGGAGGTTGCAGTGAGTGGAGATCATGCCACTGCACTCCAGCCTGGGCGACAGAGCGAGACTCCTGTCCCAAAATAAATAAATAACCAGCATATTCCTGCCTGATTTCCACTTCTTTCTCCTCAGAAGCAATTTCAATCTTTTTTTTTTTTTTTTTGAGATAGTCTCGCTCAGTCGCCCAGGCTAGACTGCAATGGCGCAATCTCGGCTTACTGCAACTTCCACCACCCAGGCTCGAGCCATTCTCCTGCCTCAGCCTCCCGAGTAGTTGGGATTACAGGCGCCCACCACCATGCCCGGCTAATTTTTGTATTTTTAATAGAGATGGGGTTTTACCATGTTGGCCAGGCTGGTCTCGAACTCCTGACCTCAGGTGATCTGCCCACCTCAAGTTCCCAAAGTGCTGAGATTACAAGTGTGAGCCACCATGCCTGGCCGACAATTTCAGTCTTTTAGCTGATATTTCTGTATTTATCCCAATGTCAAAATATCTTGTTTATATTGCTGCTTGTTCGTGGTTCAGTTTGAGATATTATCTGTTGATTCTTCATTCAAAAGGTAAAGATTTATATTTATCACCCCTCTCTTCACTCCTACCTCCCCCTGTTCCCATTCTTCCTCCTCCTGGCCATCGGGCCTCCCAATATAGTTATAATTTTGGCCAGACCAGTATTTAGTATTGACATCACGATGACTGTGCATCATTAAAGCATTGGAGGTAACTAGGATACTGTATCCAGTGTAATCCTTTCTTGATGATCCCCAACATCATATGAGCCCTACCACCAATTTAATGTCCCCCTTGCCCCCTTGTGGACTCACTTCATTCCTTATCCACCTGAAATTCCATGCCCTATTACTCTCTCAAAAATATATTCAACAGGCCAGGTGTGATGGCTCACGCCTGTAGTCCCAGCATTTTGGGAGACTGAGACAGATGGATCGGCTGAGGTCAGGAGTTCGAGACCAGCTGGCCAACATGGCAGAACCCTGTCTGTACTGAAAATACAAAAATTAGCCAGGCGTGGTGGTGTGTGCCTGTAGTCTCAGCTTCCGGGAAGGCTGAGGTGGGAGAACTGCTTGAACCCGGGAGGCAGAGGTTGCAGTGAGCTGAGATCTTGCCACTGCACTCCAGCTTGGGCAACAGAGCAAGACTCCCTCTAAAAAATACACACACACACACACACACACACACAAACAGTTTTTCTTGCTTTGTCATACCTGTTTAGCAAAATGCATGCCTCTTTGTCTTTAATTTTCCACCCACTTTGTGCTACGACCTTTGTAGCTATACATGACTGGAAAAAACAATCATAACTGGTGTAATAATGGCTCAAGTGGGCCCTAATTGCACTCAGCAATTGTATTACATTGCTGCATTTACTCATTGTTCATTTACTCTTTCCTTTTCTTAGGTAGTTATTTTATACCATCTCTTTGATCCTCAGATTGACACTATCCACCTTTCCCATCTCTCCTGCCTGGATGGCTTTACATCATATCTCACTGATGAAGTGGAAGCGGTAAGAGAATCTGTATAAGTTCCCACCCTTGCATTTATACATACAATGCCTTCTCTCTTCAGGCTCTCAGCTCAGGCCTCAGTCCCTCCTTGTCTACTACATGTCTTTTCCTCTTGCCTACTGGAGAACAAAATTCTCCTGCCTTTCCCCTACAACATCAAAATTCCCCTCTCAGGGGTAAAAGGTTAGTGGAAATGCCCTTCTTTCTTTTTACTGTAGGTCTGGCTGGTTGCTGTCAAAATGGGCAAGTTCATGAAACCTGGGAATGTGGTGCTGGTCCTGGCTGGATGCTACTCTGGACGCAAAGCCATCATCATGAAGAACATTGATGATGGCACCTCAGTCCGTTCTTACAATCATGCTTTGGTAGCTGGAACTGACAGCTATCCTCACAAAGTGATGGCTGCCATAGGCAAGAAGCTCTCCAAGAGGTCAAGGATTAAGTCTTTTGCAAAAGCTTATAACTACAATCACCACATGCCCACAAGGTACTCTGTGGATATGGTCTTGGACAAACTGTCATCAACAAGGATCTCTTCAAAGAACTTGCTCTTAAACACAAGGCCTGATGGGAGGCCAAGATCAAGCTCAAAGAAAGGTACAAGGAAAAAAAAATCCCCTCTGTACTGGATCATTTCCATCAGTATACAAACAGACAGTCATTTCTCCCATCTTAAACACAAACTTTCGACTCTATTTCCTTCTCCATCATCTTGGCTCCCCTTTAGGACAAAACTCTCTGAAAGCATTATGCGTGTTTATGCTTATGATTTCCAATTTTCACATTCTCTCCTGAACTGGATCTATTCATGTTTTTACTCCCACCATTCCACAGAAATAGCTTTTGCTGCGGTTACTTCCTTACTATCTTTCAAGGGTCTCAAGACTCAGTACTTGGGCCTCTTCATGCACTCCTTGTGATATTCTTCTCATGGCTTTAAATATCAACCATATGCCAATGACTTCCAAATTTATTCCTCCAGTGTCCCCTGCTTACCAATATCTGTACTTGGATTTCTGACAGGCTCTTCAAAGGTAATGTGTCTGAACCCAAACTCCTGGGCTGCTAGCTCTTTCCTGTCCACCCTGCCACCTGGCCCTCCTACAGTCTTCCCCATTTATAGTAAATAGCAGCTCTGTCGTTCTGATCAAAAACTTTGATTCTTCTCTTCTTTCTTACCGTACATCTAATCTGTCAGCAAATCCTGTTCTGCCTTCAAGATACATTCAGACTTCAACCACTTCCCACCACTTCCAGCACTATGACTGCTCCAATCCACTATCATCCCTCACTTGGATGATTGCATGAGCCATCCAGCTGATCTCCCTGCCTTTACTCTTAGTTCTTAATATAGCAGCTGGAGTGAGCCTTTAAAAATATACATCAGATGCTTTCAGGTTGTGTCTATCCAATGCTCAAAACCCTCCCATTCTATCCAGTGCTCAAAACCTTCGCATTCTCTTAAGTCTTTGCAATGATCTACCTTACTCTCTCTTCCCACTCCCTGCTGTACTCCCTTAACTCTCTGACCTCTGCCCTCATTTTCCCCTGCAGTCATGCCATTCCTGCCCCTGTGGCCTCTTCTGTGTGTATGGATATGCCAAGCACACTCTGGTCTCCAACATTTGTACCATCATGCACTGCATAATGATGTTTTGGTCAATGATGGACCATGTATATGATGGCGGTCCCATGACATTATGATAAAGCTGAAAAATTCCTATTGCTTCATGACTTACGTTAGAATTGCCTACAGTATTCAGTACAGCACCGTGCTTTGCAGTGTGAGCCTACGAGCAATAGGCTAACCATTTAGGCTTGTGTAAGTACACTCTGTGATGTTCACGCGATGACAGACTCACCTGAAGACACATTTCTCAGAACAGATCCTCCTGTCATTAAGTGATGCATGACTGTACTTATGTTCTGCCTGTAATGTTCTTTCCTTAGCAGCTACAACAGCTTCTCCCTACCTTCTTCCAGGTCTTTCCTTAAATGTCACCCTCCCAGGGAGGTCTTCTCTGGCCTACTTATGTAGCTCCCCATCCTCCTTACTGACCCCCAGCATTCTTTCCCCCACTTCGTAGTATCGTTTCCTTCATCGTAGCTATTATCATTTCACATGGTATACAGTGTGACTTATTTTGTGCATGTGTGTGCCTGTCTCCTCTCCTTTAGTCTGTAGGCATCTGTGACCCTTTTTCATCTGAAACGCGTATCCTTCATTTGAGGAATGTTTTCTTGAATTATTTTATTAATGATTCGCTTCCTTCTGTTTTCTCTGTCTTCTTTCTAGACCTATTCTTCAGATGATGAACAGCTAAGACTGGTCCTCTTTTTAAAAGTCCTCCTTTTTTTTGTCTTTTTGCTTTCTTGCTGTGAGATTTCTGCAACCTTATCTCCCAGTCCTTACATTGAGTTTTCATTTCCACTATCATTTTTTAATTTCAAGAAGCTCTTTTTTAAGGTTCTCTGAATATTAGTTTTAAATAATGGCATTCAGGTTTTTTTTATTTTGTGGTTGCAATACTTTCTCTATCACTGTTTTTTGTTTTTGTTTTTTTTTAAGTTTTTTTTCTCCCTGTGGATTCTCTTATGTCCTCTGAATTGCCTTGTTCTTGCTTGTTTTAGTCTCCATCTTTTATGTTAGGGGCATTCTTCAGGTGTTTATTGATCCCTGAGTGTCTGATCATAGCTAAGAGCAAGGCATTAACTAGCTGATTACAAACCTGTGGCTATGCTTGCTAATGTGGGGTTCACTATGGAGTGAATTGGGTGGACCACTGGGGGACTCTGATGTCAGTGTCTTTAGCTCCTTCTCCTTGGGCTGGCCAGATTCTCCAGAGAAGGATCATCTTATTATCTTCTTGCAGGGTACTAGTCTGGCGGCCAGTTTTTTAGGAACCAGTGGGAAAAAAGGTCTGGGGGAGGGAGGTGTCCACATTTGGTCTATAAAGAACCCTATTTTCTGAAGGGTAGCCTTATTATCAACTATACCTGATGCTCCCTAGTCCACAGACCCTCTATTTACCCTTCTGCCAGGGCAGAGTCAAAGAAAGTCTTAAAATTACTCACAGAGGCTAGGTGTGTTAGCTCATGCATGTAATCCCAGCACTTTGGGAGGCTGAGGTAGGAGGATCCCTTGAGCCCAGGAGTTCAAGACCAGTCTGGACAACATAGAGACAACATCTCTTTCTCTTTGTGGGTTTATGCCTTTAAAAAAAATTTCAGTCCATTCACTGATGTTTTAGTAGGATTTCAGGAAAGAACAAGAGTAAATGCATATGTTTAATCTGTCGTCTTTACCTAGAAGTACCCCCAACTGAGGTTTTATGACTGCTTAAACAACTAAAGACTGTTTGGGTCAGTTAACATTACAGAGAGCTTGTTCTTGGCATCCTTAGCATACTATGCCGCCCTTCAGTTTTCATCTCAGAAATCTTAGGGAGATAGTGACTAATCAAGGCAGGGAACTGTGACACCAAACAGTGATATGCATAGAATCTGTTATGTGCCTAATTACCCTGCAGTAGTAAGGCTACTTAGGAACCATCATGGAAGTAAATCAGTTTCTGGGTTTGATGCATGAGTAAGTTGGCAGCTTGCATCAGGGCTGTCTGTCTTGTCTTGAATTGTAAGTTGCTGGAGCCAAGGCAAGCACTTAGAAATTCTGTTTGCAAATTTAAAAAACATGCTTATAGGGTGTTAAGGTGATCTTTTGTATTTTATCATCACCGACAACCAGGGCTAGAACAATTATTTTCAAGTGCTTTTAAATTCTGAGGGTTTCAGACAGATAGACACCCTTGGGCTTGAACTGTGCAGTACTTAATTATGCTCTTAATAGTTTTCACCACTGGATTCCCTGTATTAAGGAAAGTTTAATACCTGGGACATAATTGTGTCAAATGTACTTTTGACAGTTTTTGATGATTTAACTGAACTTTTTTTTTTTTTCTTGAGACGGAGTCTCACTCTTGCAACCAAGGCTGGAGTGCAGTGGTGCCATCTTGGCTCACTGCAACCTCTGCCTCCTGGGTTCAAGCTATTCTCCTGCTTCAGCCTCCCGAGTCATTAAGATTACAGGTGCCCGCCACCACACTGAGCTAATTTTTTGCATTTTTAGTAGAGACAGGGTTTTACCATGTTGGCCAGGCTGGCCTCGAACTCCTGACCTCAGGTGATCCACCCACCTTGGCCTCCCAAAGTGCTGGGATTATAGGTGTTAGCCACAATACCTGATATATATATATTTATAAAAATATATATAATATATAAATATAATATGAATATATATAATATATAAATATATAATATATAAAATATATATGAATGTATATTTATATTTATATTAAATAAATACATATATTTAATTTTAGAGACAGGGTCTTACTATGTTGCCCAAGCTAGTCTTAAACTCTTTGCCTCAAGTAATCCTCCCACCTTGGCCTCCCAAAGTGCTGGGGTTACAGGTGTGAGCCACTGCTCCCAGCCTCTTTTTTTCTTTTTGTCAGTCTTGTTGATATGAGAATTGTTGGAGATTCTAGGAGTCACCTCTAACCCCATGCAATAGGCATATATTTTCTGCCCAGTGAGGTCTCGAAAAGATTATATTCTCAAATTAGTCCATTTTTTTTAACCTTATGGACAATGGTAAATAATTTGCAATGTTTTCTTTTCTTTCCTTTTTTTGAGAGAAGGTCTCACTTTCTTGCCTAGGCTGGAGTGCAGTGATGCGATCATAGCTCACTGCAACCTTAACCTCCTGGGATCAATCAATCCTCCTACCTCAGCCTCTCGAGTAGCTGGGACTACAGGTGTGTGCCCAATTCATTTTTTGTATTTTTTGTAGAAGTGGGCTTTTGCCATGTTGCCCAGCCTTTTTTTTTCTTTATTGTTTTTATTTCTATTTTTTCTAGGACTCTGATCAGGTTGGGCTTTGGTTTTGATATGTTTTTAAAGCAATTGTTTAGATTATAGAATAACAGTGTGAAAGCACTGCGTTAGTATTTCATTGACCCTGCATTAATGCTGCATTTAAAAACTTTGTGTTATTATTTTATAAATGAATATATGAATTACAGAGTTAAAAAAATTTTCATCTTGAAGCTGAGGGAGGATTAAGGTAAGTTTACTAAACTTGGTAAGAATTTGCTGAAGCACATTTAACAAAGACAAGGATGTGTTTGAAGTAGATAATACCTCAACCTTCACCTTAACATATAGGTGAAGAGCTCATGCCTAGGGGCCAGACCTGAGATTGTACCCGGCCCCTCCTCTGGCTGATTGACACTGGGCAACTCCCATCAGCCTGAATTTCCTTTCCAATAAAATGAGGAGATTAATAGTACCCATTTCAAAGGGCTGTAAGGATTAAATGAGATGTATGTAAAAGCCTTTGGCACAGGGCCTGTCACATAAGTGCTCTTTAAAGGTTAGCTATGCCTGGGCACGTTGGATCACACCTGTAATCCCAGCACTTTGGGAGGCCAAGGCACGTGGATCACTTGAGGTCAGGAGTTCGAGACCAGCCTGGTCAATGTGATGAAACCCCATCTCTACTAAAAATACAAAAATTAGCTGGGCATGATGGCGGGCACCTGTAATCCCAGCTACTTGGGAGGCTGAAGCAGGAGAATCACTTGAACCCACAGGCAGAGGTTGCAGTGAGATGAGATTGTACTACTGTACTTTAGCCTGGGCGACAGAGCAAGACCCCGTCTCAAAAAAAAAAAAAAAGAAAAAAAAAGTTAGCTATGTTTGAGACTATTATCAGCACATTAGCAACGTATCATTCATGTGTAGCATACTTCATTTTATTCATTTTCCTTAGATACTATTCCTATTTCCTTGACAATGTGAAGAGTTCAACTGAGGCAGCTCATTTATTCTTAAGTGTTTTTCCCATTTTTTTCTTTCATTAATTCATAATGCTTTGTGCTGATTGTAATGATAATAGGGTGTAAACCTCTCCAGGGCTATTGCTGCTCTGTCCATTAGCAAGGTTTTGGAGTTGGAAGTGACCTGTGAACAAGGGGGTAGGGTTATTCTCTGAAGGCTAACATGGTTTGAAGGCTGTGCCACTCACCGGATCAGGCGGAGCAGGTCCAGGTAGGCTGCTCTTGCCATGTCCACTTGGGCACCAGAGAGGAAGGCATCATGGAGAAAGTCACCCGAGTTAGTCAAGATTCCGTGTATGGCATGGAGGTCACAGAGGCGCTTGAGAACCTGCTGAATCGCTGATTCATTTTCTAGTTTCTCCAGAGCTTCTGTAAAACCCTTCACAGTGACATAGTAGCAGTGCGCCTACAAAGACACAAAGATATGTTCTCCTAGTTTCTGGTTTTCTACACCAGAAGTCATCCTGGAAGCTTGGGAAGATGGCTGGAATAAACTTGAGGCAGGATGTGCTTCCCAGCAGGCTGACTTTTCTTCTAGCTCACTCTGGGTCTGATCAAGGCTTTTTGATGTCGTGTGTGTGTGTGTGTGTGTGTGTGTGTGTGTGTGTGTGTTGGGGACTGGTGGGCTTTTGAAACATGGCCCTTGTTTTCTTTTGCTTGGAGCAGTTTCAAGTAGGTTGGAAAGTGGAGAGAAAGAATACAGGCACATTGGAGGCTGGCCTGGGGAAGGTGGAGGACAGCACCACTGTTCTTAAGAAAATAGCTATTTTAAGGCTGGATGCAGTGGCTCACGCCTGTAATCCCAGCACTTTGGGAGGCCAAGGTGGGTGGATCACCTGAGGTCAGGAGTTTGAGACCAGTCTGACCAACATGGCGAAACCCTGTCTCTACTAAAATGCAAAAATTAGCCAAGCATGGTGGTGCATGCCTGTAATCCCAGCTACTTGGGAGGCTGAGGCAGGAGAATCACTTGAACCCAGGAGGCGGAGGTTGCAGTGAACCAAAATCATGCCATTGCACTCTAGCCTGGGCAATAAGAGCGAAACTCCATCTCAAAAAAAAAAAAAAAAAAAAAAGCTATTTGTTGTCTGCCGTGTTCAAGTCAGTGGTGTGTGTGTGTGTGTGTGTGCACGCACACATGTGTACACCATGGGGTGAGAAAATAATGGTTCAAGATATATATGAAATTTATCCCAGCTAGAGTATAAACTCCTTAAGGTAAGCAGTGCTGTTATTTAGCTCATATGTAATGGTCTGGCTATGGCAGTTGTCAAAATAATACTTTAATACCAGCTGGCAAGTGTCCACTGCCATCAACCCTGTGAGAGCCCCTCCTGCCAGATGGACTCCGTCCCGAAGACCCCCTCCTTCTCTCCACAGCCCAGCAACTAAAGGATTAATGCTTGATCCAGCAGGAGGCCTTCAGGACCTTGCTTACCCTAGGGCTGAAGTCCATTTTGATTGGTTAGTGCCTTGTCCTACTGGTTGTAACATATTTTGAACAGACCCCATCTCATCAAGACAAGCACACATAATTATTTTGTCAGGTAGGATATATGAGTTCTATTAGGGAGAGTGAGGAAGACAAAGTATAAAGCAGTGCTTCTCAATTGTTTGTTTTTTTTTTTTTGAGATACAATCTCACTCTGTCATCCAGGCCGAAGTGCAGTGTTGCAATCTTGCCTCACTGCAACCTGTGTCCCACTGGGCCCAAGTGATCCTCCTGCCTCAGCCTCCCGAGTAGTTGGGACCACAGGTGCACATCACCATGCCTGGGTTTTTTTTTTTTTTTTTTTGGTATTTTTAGTAGAGATGAGAGTCTTGCTATGTTGCCCACACTGGTCTCAAACTCCTGAGCTCAAGTGATCCTCCTTCCTTGGCTTCCCAAAGTGCTGGGATTACAGGCAGAGCCTCTGGGCCTGGCCCCGCTTCTCAGTTTTTTATGTGCACACAGATCACCTGGGGATCTTGTCAAAATGCAGATTCCAGGGCAAGGCCTGAGACTGCATTTCTAACAAGGTCCCCTGTGATGCCCATGCTGCTGTAGTGATTTTCAGTAGCAAGATTTAGAGTGTCTTGGGGGTTTGGCTGGGTGCGGTGGCTCACACCTGTAATCCTAGCACCTTGGGAAACTGAGGTGGGCGGATCACTTGAGGTCAGGAGTTTGAGACTAGCCTGGTCAACATGGTGAAACCCTGTCTCTACAAAAAATACAAAAATTAGCCAGGTGTGGTGGTGCACACCTGTAATTCTCGCTACTCGGGAGACTGAGGCATGAGAATCGCTTGAACCTGGGAGGTGGAGTTTGCAGTGAGCTGAGACTGTGCCACTGAACTCCAGCCTGGGTGATGGAGTGAGATTCTATCTTAAAAAAAAAGAATGTCGGCCGGGCGTGGTGGCTTAAGCCTGTAATCCCAGCACTTTGGGAGGCCGAGACGGGTGGATCACGAGGTCAGGAGATTGAGACCATCCTGGCTAACCCGGTGAAACCCCGTCTCTACTAAAAAATACAAAAAACTAGCCGGGTGAGGTGGTGGGCGCCTGTAGTCCCAGCTACTTGGGAGGCTGAGGCAGGAGAATGGCGTAAACCTGGGAGGTGGAGCTTGCAGTGAGCTGAGATCCGGCCATTGCACTCCAGCCTGGGGAACAGAGCGAGACTCCGTCTCAAAAAAAAAAAAAAAAAAAAAGAATGTCTTGGGGGTTCAAAAGAATTCACCCAGTGGGACATGAGTTGGGGGAAAGGTCATTCCAGGCAGGGAGAACCTTATGTGCAAAAAGTTGTACATTCAGGAAGCTGCAGGCAATTTAATGAGGCTGAAGTGTGGTGGTATAATGAGGTGATGACGGGGAACCATGGAGGTTAGGGTGGACTCATACCTGGGGCTCAGGTCAGTGAAGGGCTGTGAAGAACATGGTCGGAATTTGTTCTGTGGGACCGGGAGTCTTTAGCTGCGCAGTGACCCGATCCATTTTCTCAGTTGGAAAGAACCTGTGTTTCCTAGGGGGCCCTCACACAGGTGCTGACAACTCCACTTTGCCATTCAGACATGGTGTGCTCACAGCCGTGCTGGACTTGCAGCATTTGGCTGTGGAAGGTCAGCAGATGTGCTGTGTTGCCTCTGCTGGCTCCAGTAGCCTTTGTTGCTCAGACTGGGTCCAGCTTGGCAGAACTGCAGACCCACACTCCTTTTCCTGTCCTAATCTGAGAGCTGCATCCTCAAATGCTTAAGGCTCTCAGTTGAGGAGTGGAGTGATGGAGAGCTGCCCAACGGCCTGGGCCTCTGCCTTAAAAAGCAGGATGAGGATCAGAGACAGAGGTGACCTCTACGCTTTGGGGAAGGGCTGAGCCGAACTTTGGTCCCACGCTCTGAGCACAGTGAACATTATTTACATTGCGTGTGTTGGTTTAAATCTTGCCTCCTGTCTAATTTGGGGGTGGGGGTGGGATATATGCACTTAGGTGCTAGCTGCCTCTCTTTAAGTTTTACTCATTTAATCTTTATCAGAGTCCTACAAAGTAGGTACTGTTATTAGCTCTATCTTGCAGATGAAGAGACTGAGGCTCTGAAATATTAAGTTTTTTCCCCAAGGTCATGGCTAGGAAGTGGTAGCAGTGAGAGCCACACCAGGACTGTATTCCTAACCCTGTGTGGCCAAAGCCACAGGAGACAGAGGCTGGATTATAATGAGGCCAGCATTTGTTCCAGTGGTCCTGGAGACTGACATCTCTTCTGGTCAGAGTCTGCATTATCGGACCAGAGCCTGACAGAGCCTAAAGGGCTCTCCCATGCCCCTTTGTCTACAGATAGGGAAGTTAAAGCCCAGAGAAGGGGCTGCTTGAGGTCACACAGAGCTGGGACCAGAATTTAGCCCATGGCTCCCCCTTGTCTACTCTTCTGTCAGTATCATCCCCGCTTCCCCCAAGTTGCAGTTATCTCTACCTGCACATTTATGGTTTCCAGATGGGGCCCAGTTGGGTGCTGAAGCTTTCTGTAGACTAAATAACCCCGCAAAGCACAGAGAGTACAGAAAGCCCTATCCATTATGACCTTGGAGACTCAGCTGGGGCACCACCTCCCCAGGAAGCTGTCAGGGACGTGTTCTTCCCTCACAGGCTGGCTGGCTATCACCCTCCATCCCCCCAGAGTTTGTTGCTCACCTCAGTCACTCATCACACCCTTGGTGGTGTGGGAAGGGAAAGCATCTGGACTCAGCTATTTTCTACCTCTGGGACCTAACTCCTGAGTTCTCTTTCCTTACTCTTGAAGTGGAGATAATGTCAGTCTCCCTCCCAGGGCTGTGTGGATTAAATGAAGTAACCCTGGCAAGCAGCATCTGGTCCATTTGAAGGCAGGCCATAGGTTTGGAAAATGGATGAGTGGATAATGGGCAGCTGTGGTTCCTGTTTTGGTGATCCAGTGAAAGCAGGAAGCCTTGGCTCACCCTCTGTGTTGACAGGACAGTTAGCACAGCAGAGAGTGCCCCTGCTGTAGGCTGAACAGAACTGAGGGCTGCAGAGGTAATCCCAGAACCGGCGGTGTGATGGAGGTGGTGGGTCACGTGGTGGTACTCAATGTCCAGCCTGCCCCACCAACCCTGTCCCACGAGGGCCTCTGCAGCCCTTCAGGGCTCTCCTGTTCCAAGGCTGCCATTTTCTGGGTCTGAGGCCTGAGCAGTGGTGTGATCACTTTAGTTTTCCAGTTATTGGCGGTGCCAGAGTCCCAGCTGCCTACGCTAGAACTCAGGAGTTGTTCTTACCTCTTTCCCACCCCAGCACTCTGAGGCTTGTCGCTGCCTTCTTCCCCCTTAGTATCTCTGATCTACCCACTTGTCTCCAGGCCTTCTGCCATGCTCATGGTCAGGACCACCCTCAGTCTTGGCCCAGACTTGCTCCTTTCTAACTTGCTCCCTTTCATTCCACCCCGGGCAACCTGCATGATTCTTCTAGAATGAAACTGATCACTTTACTCCACCTCCAAACAAACTCAGCAAAGGCATTGCAATGAAAACAAAACCCCAACTTTTCACAGTGGTGCAAAAGGTCAGAGGCCTTGCCTGTCTCCCCTTCTCCCCTTGTCTCAGTCCTCCTCCGTAGGTCCTCCTTGAGAGATTTGCACTTCCTCCCAAGCACACCAGGATTCTTCTTGCTGACTCCTTTTGCACGCGCAGCTCCCTTTGCCTGGAAACTTTTCTCTCCAAAGCTGCCACCCCACCCTTTAGCTGGCTAATTTCAGCTTATCCTTGAAGTTACCGCTTCTTTTGGGAAGCCTTTCTGACTCCTCCAGGTGGGCAGAAATGTGCCTGCTCTGGGATTCCGTAGCAGCCTGTATTGCCATGTCATGGTGCTTCCTTGATTGTAGCTGTGCATGGGCAGTGGCTTCACTGTTGAGCACCCACCTCAGTGCCCAGTGCAGAGTGGGTGCTCAAATATTTGCCGACTGACTATGAATTATGCACAAACACAAAACAAGTAGAAATTGAATCAGACATCCAAGGATTGCCTGTGGGGCTAAGGGGAAACTTGACCTGCTTTTCTATCTGGGAGGAAATATTTGAACAACCTGAAGCAAATCCAATAACACTGCCTCATTACCTTTTCCCCTAAGAGCTGCCAGCAAGATTGCTTTGGAGTTAAGTCCTTTAATTCAAATACCCTGGACTAAAGCCTTGGAAGTGAAATGAGGGCAGCAGCCGCTGAGGCAGAGTTGGGGAATAGTGGCAGAGCCCGGATTTTCCCAGCAGGGTAGCCTGCCTGGGAAACAAAACGATCCCTTTCAGCTTCAGCTGGCGGGCGCTCACCTTAGCAGCCTGGAGGTGTATGACAGTGGTCTGGTTCCAGGCCTCGTGCTGATCAGCTCCGGATTGCGTCAGGGTCTGTAAATGGTGCACTGAGTCCTTTATCAGTCTGAAGGCCAAAGCAAAAAAGGTTCAGCTTCCTGACTGAGTGGAAAAGACAACTGATGGGCTTCCTGTGGTCCCTCAGAAGTAGAAATAATGCCTGTTTATTGACCACTTATGTGCTATAAAGCTAAATGATTGATACTCATTATCTCTTTAACTCTTTTAAGGGCAGGCACCCCCCAGTTTGCTATGGGGAAAACTGAGTCCAGAGAGGTTAACTAATTTGTCCAGGGTCACACAGCTAGTCAGGAGTAGAGCCAGGATTTTGACTTGTTGTTAATCGCCATGTTATAAAGCCTCAGGGCCATAGGCCAGGAGCTGTGCCCTATTTCTAATGCAGATTCCAGCCTGACACCAGTATGTTCAGGCCTTTTTGTTGACTGTCGTCCTATGGCCTGAGCAAGGAGAATGGTTTTTCTGTAAAGGCTACAGAGGCCCATCAGTCACCTAGCCTGCTGCAGGTTCTACCCACGGGACCTAAAAACAAAAACAGAAAACCAACCTTTGTCCTGAAAACCACTAAATTAGTCATTTGCCATTTTTTTAACCTTTAATCCCTTCTTATTTTCTGTTCCCTGCCCGTCCATCCATGACCCTTGGAATCTGTGTGTAAAGCAAACTGTTTATTAGGCAATATGTTTTTTGCTTTGTCAGGGAATAGATAAGCAGATGTCACATTGAGTTTCAAGCAAGGAGAAATATCATGACACTTTAATTACCTCGAGCAGCCTTATTTTCCCCTCCTCAAATCTCCCAATTGAAATGTTAGCTCTGTGAGGTCTGGGGTGTTTATCAGGCATATTTACTGATAGGCCCCTAATGCCTGGAACAGTGCCTGCCATATTATAGGCGGTTAATAAATATTTTTGGAATAAATAAATGAATGTTCCAAGTTGCTTATGATCTTGAAATACCTATTAACCATCCCTGGGACCACAGGTTGGGATATAAGGCCTCTTATCATATACTGAAAACATGTTTTTCCAGTTTGTTTTTGGTTTCATTTTTATTTTTTTATTAAATTTTTTTCTATGTTTGGTAGAGGTGGGGTTTCACCATGTTGCCCAAGCTGGTCTCAAACTCCTGAGCTCAAGCAATCTTCCCACCTCGACCTCCCAAAGTGCTGGAATTACTGGTGTGAGCCACCATGCCCAGCCTGTTTTTGGTGTTTTAATTTGGGGCAGGGTTCAGAAGATTTCCTTTTTAGGTAGTTAAACCTCCATCTTTTCCACGGTGGTATCTGTGTTTGGTCAGGACCTCTCTATTCCCAGCCCCTGGTATATTTGGTCATTCCTAACACAGAGTAGGTACTGAACAGTATTTGTTGAATGACAGAATGGATGAGTCCTTGGCTTTGTCCATGTTCCCTGGAGCCTACTAGACCCTGGAAATAAATGAATTCTATTCTGTGGTATTGTCATATTTTCAAAAATTATTTTTAGATTATGGGATATTTTAAACATACGAGTGAGTATTGCTTTATTTATTGATATTTGCATATCAATACATTTGTAGTATTTACATGTGGTACATTCCTTGTATTGCAAATCACCATAGGACCCTAGAGATTCAAAAAATATCTCACAGTAGTAGAAGGACATCACACCTCTGGGCCACCAGAGGTGGCCAGGATGGGGAAGTGATGGGGATCCATGGCTTCTACTACTGTGACCAGGATGGGGAAGTGATGGGGATCCATAGCTGAAGCGGGGGACTTCCCCTCTCTCTCCCATGGTGGCAGGGACTGAGAGGATGGGGGAGGCTAGGCGTGGGGTGGCTTTTTAGAACTGAATTCATGAATGTCCACCCAACCAATCCAAAGGCCCTAGTGTGGCATGGAGCCTGTCCCCAGGTGGGATGGCTGATTTCTCAGCACTGGCTTACCTTGCTGCCACGTGTGCCCAGGCTAGCACTGGCTTACCTTGCTGTGCCACGTGTGCCCAGGCTGTGGCGTGAGCTTCCTGGGCAGAGGAAGCTCGGCTGCCCTAAAAAAACTGGGCTGGACACCTGGCCAGGTCAGGTGTGGCGAGATACGCGACAGATGGAGGGAGAGATCTCTGTGGCATGGAGCCAGGGGACATCTGAGTCTGCAGGTAGCTCTTCACCAGAAACCTAGGGGGTGGAAAGGGAGGCAGGTGAGAGGGCAGAGACTCTGTAGGACAGTCCAGCACCCCTCACTCCCAGAGGCAGGCGAGTTCATGCTGGGTTCCAGCCTTCCCGTGGGAGAGCCGGGTCACCAGGCCTCCACCTGGCCTCCCTCCTGAGGATTCCCCCTTGGGCCATCCTGCCTCGAGGCCTGCAGTCAGGCACACCCCGGGAAACTGTGGAGCTGGGCCAGACACTCTCAGATCCTGAACATAAACCCTTCTGTGATCTGAGCAAACAGAAGTTTCCATCAGAACATTGCGATCTTGGGATTTATAATGACTTGTACAGTGACTGGGTGGAAATTAAATTTTCTTAGCTGATAAAAGAAGGATAGAGGCAAGAATGCTAACAGGAGTAGGAGGATTATAGGTGACTCTCAACTGCTGCTTTAGGATAATCCAGTGGTTACAGGTTCTGGGCTTAGACAGCCCTGGATTCCCATACAGCCTCGCTGAGACCTGTGTGATGAACGAAGCTTCACCTCCCAAGTCTCGGTTTCTCTGGCTCTAGGTGGGGAGGACAGTTCTCGTCTGACTGAGGGTTTGTGAAACGGAATGAGATGATATTTGTAGAGTGCTTAGCACAGTGCAGAGTACATAATATGTGCTATTGTATTCCTTTTCTAATTTGGAAAAAAACCAAGGGATGTTATATGTTTTTAAAAACACAATAAATGTTGTTTTTCATATTGCCAGTGAACTTCTTTCTCCTTGCTTAGGGAAGCATTTGCCCTGTTTGGTCACCTGAGAGTAGGTGAGGATGAGGCTCTGTCAGCCTCCAGGGTCCACAGACCTAAGAGGGATGAAAAGAAATCACCTCTGTGGAGGAGACTGACTTGGCCATTGCTTGGAGCCTGTGTATGCAGGCTCTGCACCAAGCCTAGGCGATGCTAAAGTGAGCAAGGTAGGGGTAGTCCCTGCCGTCAGGGAGCTCCTAGTCTAGTTGGAGAGTAGAGCTAAAAAGGTGAACAAAAAAATGAGACAATGATAGATTGTGAAACTGCTCCAAAGGAAACAAGGCCATGTTGGGTGGGAGGGGATCAAATGCAAAGGCCTCCTGGACAGAAAGAGGTGTGTGGCTGGCAGAGGTGACTGGGTGCGGTGGCTTGTGCCTGTAATCCCAGCACTTTGGGAGGCTGAGGCAGGTGGATCACCTGAGGTCAGGAGTTGGAGAGCAGCCTGGCCAACATGGTGAAACCCCATCTCTACTAAAAATACAAAAATTAGCCAGGCATGGTGGTGTGTAATCCTAGCTACTGCGGAGTTTGAGGCAGGAGAATTGCTTGAACCCGGGAGGTGGAGGTTGCAGTGAGCCGAGATTGCACCACTGCACTCCAGCCTAGGTGACAGAGTGAAACTCCATCTCAAAAAAAACAAAAACAAAAACAAAAAACAAAAAACAGAAAGAAGTGAGCAGAGGCGGGAGGTGGTGAGAGCATCATGGACATGCAGGCAGGGGTCAGGTCACACAGACCTTGCAGGCCACAGCATAGAATATGTCATTTTCCTATGAGCACTGGGAAGCCATTGAAGAATTTCAAACCAGAGAAAGTTGTGATCTTCCCTAGGCTCTGAAAAGATCCCTCCGGCTGCCTGTGGAGAAGCGGGACAGGACAGAAGCAAGAGACCAGGGAGGGGTCTGAGGCTGTGGTGGAGGTGAGAGAAGATGGTGGCCTAGAAGTGGATAGATTAGTCATACTGGGGAATTGGACAGCTCCCAAGTGGCACTTCCCAAAGCCTGCTCCCTTTACGGGCATCAGACGGAACCCTCCACCCAACAAGCTTGGAGGGTCCCCAAGGGCTTGGGCAAAGGCCTGGGTCAGCCTGGACCTTACCTGGCCACCTGCAGGTAGAGCACTGTGTTCTCACCCTCATAGGTGCAGGAGGCTGACAATTTGGTGACCAGTGATGGCAGGCCACTCAGCTTTGAGTAGCCGTGTCCGCCACAGGCCCTGCGGCACATCTCAGCTCCCTGAGTGCAGAATTCCGACATCATGGCCTTCATGCCTGTGCTCAGCGCGTGGAGCTGTGAGAACATGGAGTGGGGTTGGGGGGTGTAAGGGGGCCTCTATCATGGGGACCAACCCTGTGCACCACTTACTGAGCATCTACTGCATGCCCAGCTCAGCTCTGAGGTAAGAAGCGTTTCCTCTGCTCACAACTTTATGAATGAGAAGGCGGGTACTCAGCTTCTGTGACTCACCCAGAGGCACACAATTAGGCAGTGTAGCTGTAGGGGCATAAGAGCAAAGGAAAACCTGGCCTGGCCAGTGTCTCCAGGATTGGGAAGAGGGTGCTGCCTGGATTGGGCCCACAAGCCTCCAGGAGTTACGGATTTTGCTGGCATGGCTTTTAGAAAGCCTGTCTGTGAGGATGGGTGTCCATTGTAAGCCCACTTACTGGGTTGTAGGAGGGTGACAGGGTCTGAATGTGTCCACCTAAAATTCTTATGTACAAATCCTAGTCCCCAAGGGTTAGGGCTAGGATTAGGAGGTATTGATGATTAGGAGCTAGGAATAGGAGGTATTATGATGGTAGTAGGAGGTGGGGCCTTCTGGAGGTGATTAGGTCATGAGGGTGTAGCCTTCGTGAATGGGATCAGTACCCTCATGAAAGAGGCCACTTCTGGCTGGGTGTGGTGGCTCACACCTGCAATCCCAGCACTTTGGGAGGCCCAGGCAGGTGGATCATGAGGTGAGGAAATCGAGACCATCCTGGCCAATACAGTGAAACCCCGTCTCTACTAAAAATACAAAAATTAGCCAGGCATGGTGGCAGGCACCTGTAATCCCACCTACTCAGGAGGCTGAGGCAGGAGAATCTCTTGAACCTGGGAGGCGGAGGTTGCGGTGAGCTGAGATTGCACCGCTGCACGCCAGCCTGGGTGACAGAGTGAAGCTCTGTCTCAGGAAAAAAATAAAATAAAACAAAAAGAAAGAAAGAGGTTGCTTCTACCATATGAGGGCACAGCAAAAAGACAGCAGTCCCTGAACCAGGAAGCAGGCCCTCACCTGACACCAAATGCACTAGTGCCTTGACCTTGGACTTCCCAGCCTCCAGAACTGTGAGAAATAAATTTGTTTTTCTTTTTTGAGACAGGGTCTCACTCTGCTGCTCAGGCTGGACTGGATGGAGTACAGTGGCACAATCACAGCTCACTGCATCCTTGAATTCCTGGGATCAAGGAATCCTCCCACCTCAGCCTCCAAAGTAGTAGTTGGGACTACAGGTGTGTGCTACCACACCTGACTAATTTTTCAATTTTTTTTTTTTTTTGTGGAGATGGGGGTTTCACCATCTTGCTCAGGCTGGTCTTAAACTCCTGGGCTCAAGCAATCCTTCTGCCCTGGCCTCCCAAAGTGCTGAGATTACAGGTGTGAGTCACCATGCTGGGCCAGTTTCTGTTGTTTATAAACCATCGCTTTATGGTATTGTGTTACAGCAGCCTCTCTCTCTGTTGAGGCAGCAGGCCTAGTTTGAGATTTTGGTTCTTGAAGCCCCTGCCTATCTTTGGAGTTTTCAAGTCCTTGGGAGGAAAGTTGTGTCCATTGATTTCTCTGTGCCTCAACTGCAGTTGAAAGGGTTAATGAGCAGTGCTTATAAAGCCTGGTGCCTGGACAGACTGAATCTTACTGTATATGTAAGATTTACTTGAGACCTGTGAGCCAGATGTGTTTAGGAATCAGAGTAACTTTTGAATTGTAGAGAGGCCAAGTGGCATTGAAGGTACATTTTATATAATAGCCCAGTGGGGTTTGGGGCGGCTTTAGGGATTAAACACATTAATAATTTTCCCGCAAAATGTATTCACACTCAGAAGGATAAATCAGGTCAGTTCAGGTCAAACTATGCCACCAAATGAGTTCCAAATGACTGTTTTTCAGAGCTTTTTGGGTTTCAAATACACATCAGGGGTTGTGGACTTGTGTTCTCTACACTAGATGTGATTGTTTTCTCTTAGCATGTTTGTAGCTCTCTGGGGGCCAGTTGTGGGTAAATTTATATATCAGGGTGCCGTTCACCCAGACGCCCTGGGATGCTGAAAGCTGGGAGGGGTGGGGGTGGGGAGTGCCCACGGGGATGGGGCTGTGGCTGTTCCTCAGTGAGTGGAGCAATCTTAGCTTCCCTTCCAGTGCCTGCCCCTCTGCAGACAGCAGGTACCTCAGGCAGCAAGCTGAAGTCTCTGTTCAGAATGGCAGTGTAGGCGTGCTGGAAGAACTCCAAGAGGCTGACTGCCAGGAAATGGAAGGCATAACTGATGGCCAGCTGAGGAAAGAGTTTCTGCTGCTGCGTCTGGTAGTCCAGGACCTTTGCCTCTGGGTCACTGAAGGGAAAAGAACTGGAAGATTTAATCACTACGTGCCATGTCCACCTTCCCCTATCCCTGACACCATAAAAACCTTAAAAACAGACAGTTCCTTAGAACTCATTGCAGAACTTGAACTGACACGAGGCCGTTGATAATCCTTTAAAAATCCCATCTAACATGAACATCCATCCACACATTTCACTGCAGGAATATTGATAGGTTTGTTGGTGGGTACTGCCTCTTGTTATGGGAGGCTTATAGAATTCCAGCATATACATGGTATTATCCTAAAACCTGAAAAGTTCTGAGATTCCAACATGTCTGGTCCCAAGATTTCAGGTGAAGAGTTGTGGCTGTGCACCCATGATGATTTGAACCTGTGACTCCACTGCCCGTGTGCACTTGCCATGTGCTGAGGAATATGTCAAGCCTAAACAATAACTCTTAGAATATAAACTCGGGTTCGATGGAACCCCAAGGAAGGGACTGTGTCTGCCTTATCCACTGCTATGTCCTCAGTGCCTGAGACTATGTCCAGCACTTATGAGCTCACAGTAACTGGATTGAAAGAGGGTGTGATTACAAGAAGCCTCCTCTCTGGACAGCAGCTGCTCACCGGGCGCATCTTTCTCATGACCACCCTAGGGACACTTCTGCAGCCCAGATAAATGGGCCTCGGGCAGGACAGCAGTAGAAGCCCCTTCTTCCTGGTGGCCCTCTCCTGCAGAGAACTCTCGCAGCCCGGATTCTGAAGCCCAGGCCAGGCGAGGGCGCTGTGAGCTTGCCAGAGGAAAGGACCCTGGGCTGAGGGCCTAATGCACCTTCCTGCATTTCACCCTCCACACTGCCCTGAAAGGCCGCTTCTGCCACACCCATTTTGTAGCTGAGGAACCTGAGGGATGAAGTGAAATGGCCGAGCTGAGTGTTCACAGAGGGTTCAGTCAGCCCTTGCTGTTCTGTGCTGTGGGGTGGAGGGAGTGGTAGCAACACAACCAATTACAACAAAAGGGATCCAGACATAGACATACCAGTCAGATGCTGACAGCACAGCTGGACAGAACGAGTTCAGCCACACACAATCGATATAACATTGGATTTTGCTAGGCTCGGCCTGACAGAATCAACTCAGCCAGCCACAGTCTGACGCAGCTGGCAACTGACTGACCCAGACCCGTCCAACCCCTCACAGCCACACAGAACACAGCCGGACTTGGACAGACACAGAGTCAGACAGACCTGGTGCTACAGGGCCAAAGACACGATCACATAGAGCCCGAGGGGGCAGGCACTGAGGATGCAGGTTAGGCCAACTGGTCAGCCCTGTTAGAGGGAGCCAGAGAGACCTCTCTGACATGCCCAGATAGGGCCAGGCCTGGGTAGATTGTGTGTGTGTGTGTGTGTGTGTGTGTGTGTGGTGGGTGGCAGTGCCTGTTCCCAGCGCTCTGGCTCTGGCAGAAGAGTGTCGCGGGAGGCACTGTGGGACCAAGAGGCAGCATATCTGTGGTAGTCAGTCACTGGGCACCCCTTGCCTGGGCCGGAGCTGGGATTGGCGGCGGATGACCGAGTAGCGCATGGCGATGACACAGGCCTTCTGCAGTGTAGGGAGGACCTCCCCTAATAGCAGCTCCACCCGCACCACCACCATGGGAAGGTAGTTGCTCTGTGCTGTCCCGAGTTTGATGTATGTGCCATCTGGCAAGACCTGTGTGGAACAAGGACGGGCACAGGGTCTGAGCCAAGGCTCCCCAGGATGCCCCTGCTTCCCCAGAGCTGTGGGGCTCCACACAGGGAGGGTGCTTCTCCCCTCTGGTGCATCTGGGGTTGGAATATTAAAATACCAGGCCATTTCCCCAAGTGCCCTGCTTCACAGCGCCTCTCCTGGGACACCCCAGACCGCCCCACAACCCATAACTAAAGGGGTGATGCCTGGCAGAGTTGGGACCACCAGAACTCCTGCTGGCATTCTGACTGGTGTCTGCTGGGCGATTGGCTGTGTCAGGCCTCACCGTGGGTAAATATTACGCAGATCACCTCAGCTCTATCCTCTCCTGGGGCTGCCACTCCACCCCACGATTGCTCCGTCAGCCTATGTGACGAGCATTTCTGCGTGAGAAGTCAGAGGCTCTGTGTCCAAGATCATACTGTTCCTAAGCAGGGGTTTCACCCCAGTCTGTGGGACATCAGAGCCTCTCTTGGGGGAGGAGGTTATGTGGCCCAAACTCAGCTCTACGGAGGACCCAGACCCAGCCTGCACAAAGTGCAGGTCCCCTCTCCGGGAAGTACAAGTCCCCGTCCTCCCCAGACCTGTAACCTGTGCAAAGCGACTCAGCATGTTCTCCCTGGGGACCCGCACATGGTTCAGCCGCAGGAAGCCGTTGTCCATTTGATCAAAGTCCATCTTGGGCCCGATGTCCCCAACGATGATTCCTTGAAGGAGATGGAGATGAGGACACCTATCAGTTGAGAGACTGCTTGTTATGTGGCAGGTATCACACACACATTCCAGGTCACAGCAGCCTGTGACAGTGGGGTTATTGTACCTATTTTGCAGGTGAACAAGCTGAGGTCAGACAGATGCTAAATCTTGCTCGAGTTCACCTCACCAGTTAGCACCAAGTCTGTCCAGCTGGACCCCTCTCTGCCCAAGGGAGACATGTCTTAGCTACTCCTGTGGCCCTCTGGGGCCCCAGGTCAGGGAGGCCACCTGGGCTTTCCTCCTGGTGGGGTCCTTGAGGGAGCATTATGGGCTCACCTGGCAGTGGGGTGTGGTCCCGAAGACTCCGGATTGGCACAATAAAAGCGTGCATGCCCCGCCGGGCTCCTGAGCAGACCAGCTGGGCCTGGACCAGGGCATGGGTGGCTGACCGTCCCACTGAGGGCAGAGAGAGGAGAGGCCCGTCACAGGAAGACCTGCGCATCGCTTTTCCCAACCCAGTCTCCTGGGGCTGGGGTTTTGGATGGGTACCTCTGGGGCCTGAAAAGTCACTGATCAAAGAGAGGGGGGATTGCCCCCAAAGAACCAAGCAAACTTAGCCGTGACTTGGCAAAGGCACTGTGAAATGATTCAGCTTTTTTTTTTTTGCCCCCCACCCCCCAACTATTAATGAATTACTCTGTCATCACCTTATAATAATGAATACAGATAATTATCATTTATCAAAATCCAGGTGGCACTAGACCCTGTGATAGACGCTTTCCAGTTCTCGCAGGGGAGAGAGGATGATGAGTCCCATTTTCCAGATAAGGAAACAGGCTCAGAGAGTAGAGTGACACACTGAAGGTCACTGGCCTGGAGGGGCAGAGCTAGGATTCATCTGTACCCTGGTCTATCTGATCTTAAAGGCTGGTTTCTTTTGTCTTCATTTTTGACAGTGGTCATTTATTTTCTATCTCTCTTTCTCTCATCACTCTCTCATCTCTCTCTCTCTCTCTTTTTTGAGACAGAGTCTCGCTCTTTCGCCAGGCTGGAGTTCAATGGTGTCAGCTCAGCTCACTGCAACCTCCACCTCCCAGGTTCAAGCAATTCTCCTATTTCAGTCCCCCGAGTAGGTGGGACTACAGACACCCGCCACCACACACGGCTAATTTTTGTATTTTTAGTAGAGATGAGGTTTCACCATATTGGTCAGGCTGGTCTCAAACTCCTGACCTCAGGTGATCCATTCACCTCGGCCTCCCCAAGCGCTGGGATTACAGGCGTGGGCCACCGCACCTGGCTCATGTCTCTCTTATGTCTCTGGTCTCTGCCTCTGTCTTCCTCTCTCTGTGTGTCTCTCATCTCTGTCACTCTCCTGCTTTAGTTGGACTCAGCATATTTGTTTTAATTTTTTCCACACAAGGTGTGGGTCCCCAAGTACCACAGATGTGTCCTGGGAGGTGAAATTCTCAAGTTTGAGGAAGGGGAAATCCCTCCTTGGGGCTTGGTAAATCACCGAGCCTCAGGGACACTTGATGTGGCCGCCACCTGGTGGCCACAGCGGGAGGTACGGTGTTGGTGGCTTGATGGGGGCTGGTGGTGGGCGGGAGCCTTTCTGGGTGTCTGCAGCAGGGGCAGACAGGTGTGCTCTTTCCACTGTCTCATCACAGGGCCTGTGCTCTGGCCGGTGGCAAGCTCTACCTCTAACTCAGGAGATGAGAGGAACTGGGATTGTGAGCAGTGCCTGGGACTAGACCAAGTGTGTGTGTGTTTGTGTGTGTGTGTGAGTGTGAGGTCTTGTCTCTCATGGATTGTCTCCTCTATTTCAAAGTTCCTTTAGGGACTTTCCAGCCACTCACTAATGAAATGTTTAACATCCCACCTATTTTACAGAGTGAGAACCTGAGGCTCAGGGAGGTGAACTGACTTGCCCAAGGTCAGCAGCCTAGAACAGAAAATCAATCTGAGGTCTGTTGAACCTCAAAGCCAGTGCTACTCTGCCCTCCCATATTTCTATCTGGGGAGAGATAAGGAAGGGGGTTGGATGGATACTCACGGTCTCCAGGCCACCATTTGGTGGCAGTCAGAGTGGGGCTGTGTATCACAAACTCCTGGGTGGCTGCGTCATAGGTGGCTTCAGTCTCCAGGCCCTGAAGATATGTCCCTTAGGATCAAGGAGGGATGTTAGAATTGGCCCAAGGTGGGGTTCTTACCTGGGAAGCTGCTTCTAGGTGGGCCTGAACTCTTAGGCATCAGTGCGGTACGGAGTGGGGCTCAGCTCCCAGCTGTACGTGCAGGCAGTTCTCCCCTTTCATTTGTGGGCCGTGTGGGGGTCACACAGTCCCCTATAGCCAGTCTGTGACAAGGGATGGCTGCTGATGTTTCCAGAAGGAATGACTTGCCCCACTGGGAGCTCACACAATATGTGCAAATTAGAAGGCGGCATCCCTTCCTCAAGACCCTTGACTGCCATCTGCTGGAATGTTTTCATATTAAACATATGTCCCTCGAAGCATATGAACCTATGACTACCGAGATGTAAATGGACCCTCTGGAGTTTTGCAGTGCACAACCTAAACACCACATGCAGCAGTCCTGGCTCACCATGTCCCAACTCTGTCTGTGCATATGTTGCGATGATCTGGATGTTTTTGCAGAGTGGGTCCCATTTGGCAATCTGTTCCTCTGAGCCCAGGCTCTTGAGGGCTTTCAGGAAGACTCTGTGTATATTTAAGGCCACATCTCCAGAAAGGGCTCTGTTGGGGAGAGATGCTGTAGTTGAGTAGCCTATTGGAGACGGGGGCCCAGGTACCCCCTGCCTGAGCAGAGTACAGGAGATAAAGGGCACCTGGCATCCTGGTTTCCCAACAAGTCTTCCCTTTGTTGGGGGAAATGGCTCATGGGGCTGGGGGGTTTCCAGGTGATCCCAGGTGGATCCCTCTCTAGTGGGGCTGCCCCAGGAGTGAGCACCTGTAAGCATAGCCTAATTCACGACCATCTTCCAACCAACCCAGGCGCTGTGCTATCAACCGGATGTGGAATGCCCTCCGCATGGCAGCCTTATAACGCTCATTCTGGGTCATGAAATAATTGTCCTTACGGCTAAACTCTGGGTAACTGTGGATGATGCTCTCTGCAGAGACAGAGAATAGAGGGCTTAGGGACCTGGGTGAGGTTTCTGGCACCTTCACATCTTCTTACCCACTTGCTTCATGGATCTGGAAAGGAAGTCAGACATTATTGTTATTTTACAGATGACAAAACTGAGGACCAAGGTGGGAAAGTGAATTGCCCAAGGTTACAAAGCTATGCAGTGGCAGAATTTTAGGACCAGAATCCAGGTCTTCTGCTGCCTAGGACTCTTCTCTCCCCCAGGTGGGCTCAGGCAATATTGACATGTGAAGATTGTCTTTGCAGTTCAAAGGAATGAATCTCTAACAGTGGAATTTCAAGGCAAAGTTTGTTATTTGAAAGCAGGACTGCTAATGAAGGAGACTCTTCTTACAAGAGAAGCATGGGGCATAAAGCAGATATCCTATTCCCCAACTTCCCCTTACCAACTTTCCTCCGGAGAGCAGTGTTCTGGGCACCTCCATCAAGGATGTTGGTGAGCCGTTCCACGTCAAAGGACTGCATATACCTCTCGCTCTCCATGTCGGGGTGCATTTGCCTGCTCCAGGTATCCCCCAATGACACTCGGTGCACTGGGCTGCCCATCCTATCCTGGATCTGTCTGGTGACTGAGGTGAAACACTTCCGATCCGGCTGCTCTGAGGGTCTGCTCTCAGTGTTGGTCAGTGCAAAGAACCTGTGTGCAAGAGGAACTGCCTAGGGCTGGGTGTCAGTCAGGGCTGGTTGGTAGAAGAAAGACATCCCTAAGTACCTGAATCCCACTCCACCTCCACACTCTCCCTGTGGACGCTGGCTGTGGACCAGGCACTGTGTGCATGGTAGGCATGGTATGCAGTCATTGCTTGGTACATGTCTGTTCAATACTTGTTAAATAAGATTGAACAGGGCCTGACCCCAAAGATTGGGCTCTATCCACTGCAGTTCATGTTACAAGAGTTGCCTAGGAAAATCTTCACAAAAAAGTCAGTGAAGGTTACACCTGAAGAAAATAATCCTGGAGAGGCTGAGTGGCCCCTAGCCACACAGCTGGAGACGGCCAGGAGTTGGATGGGGTCTGACCACAAAGCACATGCCTTGTCCATACTACAGCTCCACTGTGGAGGATTACTGAGGGTACCTTGGTCTCATTCAGCTGCTCATAAGTTCTAGGATCATTCAGCCCCATTTCTATGAGCGCTGCAGGTGTATTGTGGAACTGAAAGGAGGAAACCTGCTCCCTGACTGTGAAGTGTTCCCCTGGAACCCCTGAGTGTCTTTCACACCCAGGTTGGGCCCTGTCTCCTCCACGGCAAATGCTCGGCCTCTGAGAAGCCCCTATTCCTCCACAGTGAGGCAACCATAAGGTGCAGTTCATCCTATTTCACAAGTCTCTTGAGTCCATCTGCTCCTTGCTATCTCTTTGGCTAGCATCCAGGCCACTGTCATCTCTTACTTGGCCTCAGTGTCCCTTTTATCTGTTCTCCCAGCTGCCAGGTGAACTCTTGAACTGCAGATCACATTGTTTTCCTCTCTTGCTTGGAATCTGCTCCTTGGGGCCCACTGTTAGTGGAACGGAGTCCTTGCTGTGTCTACCCACCTCCCACTCCACTCACCTCTCTCCTATGTCAACTAACTGCCACATCATCCCTGGCCTCCACTCACTCTCTTCCTACCCTTTGCCCCTGCTGTTCTCTCTGAACAAGGTTTAGCTCCCTGGTCCCTGGGGTGCTCTAGGGTTAGGGACAAGTTCTTATTTGCTTACATGTTCCTCCCACAAGGCCTGGGAGGCCAGCTCTACATTTCCTAGTTTGCAGCAGGCACGCTGTCAATGTTTCTTGCAGGCCGCCATGCTTTTGATTGCCCTTCCTTCCTGACCTCAACCTGACAGATGCACTGCTGTTATTACCATTTGATGGGGAGGATGTGGGCCTTGGAAAGGGAGGAGACTTTATAAGATCATGCAGCCACATGTAGCAAGTGAAATTCATACGCAGGCTTTCAAACCAATACCCCTGGCAGGGCTGTGGGGGTGCTGGCAAGGGCTCCATCCTCTGCCCCCTGGAGTCCTGCGAGCGCACCTAGTGTGGCTCCTCTCTTCCTGCCTCACCTCTTTTCCTTGCTCTGTTGCCACTACCCCCTTGCAGTTCTGAATGCTGCAGGCCTCCCTGCCACTGCCAGCTTTTGCTGGGGTAGCTCCCTCTGCCCAGAACACCCTTTCTTCAAATGTCACCAGGGCTGTTTGCACTGAACCTCGTTTAACCTTAAAGAGGCCACCCTCTTTAAAACCAAGCCCCCTCCCCCAGCATTCCCTGTCCTCCTCACTCTGCTCTCCCTTTTCTCGTTTCACTTACCCTCTTCTGACATTTGAGATCATTTACTAATCTCATATGTTTTTGTTTACTTCCATCTCCCTGCTCGTAACACAGAAACTGCAAGAGGGCCGGGATCTTTGTCACTGTCACGCGGTGACCTTAACACTTAGTGCAGGGCCTGGTTTGCAGGAGGTGCCCAGTGAAGAAAGCCTTGCTCAGAGTCTTTCGGAGCTGCGGACAGGGTCATCACGGGGGCGACTCTGTCCTCTGGGGTCTCCCAGTCCCTCCCCGCCCAAAAGCCTGGCTCACCTGGCTCCCCTCTGTCCTGTGTCTGCACTGTAGGCCGGGCTGGCCTCTCCCCGGCTGTAGGCCACAGCCTCTTGCAGGCTTGTGGTCCTGCCCTTCTCTCCTCCCACAGAGGGGCTGGAACACAGAAGCTGAGAGCCCTGCTTGGCCAGCGCTCCGCCTGTCCGGGCTTACGGAGCTCCCCTCCCTCCTCCCTCTCTTCCTGCATGGGTGTGACCTCTGTGCCAGTTGCTGGGGCTGCTCTGGGAGGACTGCTGGGAGGTTGGAACCCTTCCTTCTCAAAGCCAGGGATTCCTTTGACACTACTTGTACCAAAAAGCTGCGTAGCCCAGCAGTGTTTCCAAAGTGATATCCTGGTCTTCACTGATCTTTCACTGTGTGCCCTTCAGGGACTCAAGCTGTTAATATCACACGAGCTTAATAGGCTCCCCTCAGATGGTCCTCATGTGAAAGGATTGCTCTGTAAGGTGTATGTTTTTCCTCTCTTCCCATGTTTCTGCTCTAAAATATGGCTTGTCTTATGCTTAGCATCCCCTGACATTCCCTGGAAAAATATTTGCGGCGCATCCATCTGTAGTATGTGGGATCCAGATGGGAGCTGGGTCTTAGTGAGAGGAATGAGAGGCTTAGAGGTTCCCTCCCTGCATAACCACCCTGGAAAGTCAGATGCAGCTCCCCATTTTGCAGGTAAGGAAACAAGCTCAGGAAGGGGATGTCACTTTGTTTAGGTTTGCACAATAAGTAGATTACATAACACATTTGTGTAAGATTGGGAAAGAAATCAGGGGACCAGTAGGAGATCGAGGCTCCTGTTCTGGCAGGACTTCTGAGCTATTTTGACCCTGAGCAGGTGTACTCCCTTCCTGGGCCTTGGCCCCCTGTAATGCAAGGTATTTGCTCAGTAAGGAGCCTCACAGCACCCCATCATATCGCCAAGGTAATGTCTAGCTTGTGTCTGCAGGAAGAGGCAGGACCTGTGGCCCAAGCTTTGCGACTTACTACCTAGCAGGTCCTTCTGGAACTGTGGGGCTCAGAATCCTGGCAGTCCTCATTGCTGTGGGCAGTGGTTTCAGGGAAGGTGGTCTTGGCCCCACTGTTTGGAGGTGAAAGTTCTTACTTCCAACTGGACTCATCTCTGTCAAGGATGGGAATGACTTAGTTACTCTCTGCCGTAGAGAAAGGCTTGGATTGCAGGAAGTGCCCAGTGAAGAAAGCCTTGCTCAGGGGCTCTTGGAGCAAGGCTTTTTAATAAACTCTCCATGTTTAAATTGTTTTCTCATCCACTTTGAAGCTGACCCTGTTCTGTATGTTTTGGATGTGCTCATTTTGATTTGTTGCACTGAACTCTTGAATTCTGTAGCTTAAAAAGACTTTTTAAATTACAAAATATTTCAAACTTGTACAAAAGTGAAGAGAAAAATACAATGAACCCACACGTACCTAACATCCAACACTAAAAATGATCGCACTTGTTTCCTTGATCTTTGTTTTTAACTTTTTATTCTGAAATAACTTTAGACTTTCAGAAAACTGCAAAAAGTTCTTGCATATCCTTCACTCAGCTTCTTCTAAGGTACAATTATGAAACCAAGACATTAACACTGCTGCAATATTGTTAGTTAATCTTCAGAACTTATTTGAGTGCATCAGAGGTTCTCTGGGATCAACCTCAGGTCCGGTGATTTGCTAGGAAGACTCACAGAACTTAGAAACTGTTATACTGAGCCAGGCGCGGTGGCTCGTGCCTATAATTCCAGTGCTTTGGGAGGCTGAGGCGTGAGGATCACTTGAGGTCAGGAGTTTGAGACCAGCCTGGACAACATAGCAAGACCCTGTCTCTACCAAAAAAGATGTAAAAATTAGCCCAGTGTGGTGGGGTGCGCCTGTAGTGCTAGCTCCTTGGGAGGATGCAGTAGAAGGATTGTTTGGACCCAGGAGTTTGAGGCTGCAGTGAGCTCTGATGGAACCACTATACTGTAGCCTGGGTGACAGTGAGACTTTGCCTCTAAAACAAACAGGAAGAAACTGTAATACTCATGGTTACAGTTTATTATAGCAAAAGGTTACAGATTAACATCAGTAGAAGAAAAAGGTACATAGTGGGAAGTCTAGGAGAGAATGGACTGAGCTTCTAGGTGTCCTCTCCCAGTGGTGTTTTAGGGACAGCATTTAATTCTCCCAAAAACGATGTTTACAATATGCACGAAGTATTGACAACCAGGGAAGTACACTTTTGAGACAGAAGAACAGCAGAAGGAATTGGAGGTTGGATAAAGGGCGGAATGATCGAAAGCAGAAGCAAGGTGAAGGGGTGAGTGAGCAAGAAGCAAGATAAGAAGCAGAAGTTAAGCAGCCAAAACAAAAGTAAGATAAAAAACTGAGTAAAGAGACCCCATGGCTGGCAAGATCCTGACCAAGCCAGTAAGGGGCAGCTCCTCAGAGATGGGCATGCGCATTAGAGAGAAAAAGTATCTTTAACGTGACCCCGTATGATAATCAGCTCATTAAAGCTCATGCATATGGACTGCATATCATGCATGTACTTGAGGTTATGGAATGGAGTCGACGTGCAAGTGCACAAGGGGCAAAGTAAGCAACACACCTATCAATCAAAAGGCAGACACTAGCTAGAGATTAGGCAGCCTTGGGAAAAGAAAGGGAAAAAAGAACACGTAAGACCACAAGCATAGCAAACTGAGCTGATCTCATCTCACAGAGGTCAGCCCACTCTGCCCTCTTGGAGAGTATAATGCTGTGCTTAATAAACAATTGCTGCTGGCTTTGCTACCTGTGTGTGTCACGTCCAATTTTTTGGTTTGTTTGTTTGTTTTTGAGACAGAGCCTTGTTCTGTCGCCCAGGCTGGAGTGCAGTGGTGCAATCCTGGCTCACTGCAACCTCTGCCTCCCGGGTTCAAGTGATTCTCCTGCCTCAGCCTCCTGAGTAGCTGGGATTACAGGCATATGCCACCATGCCCGGCTAATTTTTGTATTTTTAGTAGAGATGGAGTTTCACCATGTTGGTCAGGTTGGTCTCGAATTCCTGACTTCGAATGATCTGCCTGCCTCGGGCTCCCGAAGTGCCGGGACCATAGGCATGAGCTGTTGCGGGAAGTCAGGGACCTCGAACAGAGGGACCGGCTGAAGCTGCGGCAGAAGAACATAAATTGTGAAGATTTCATGCACATTTATTGGTTCCCCAAATTAATACTTTTATAATTTCTTATGCCTGTATTTACTGCAATCTCTGAACATAAATTGTGAAGATTTCATGGACACTTATCACTTCCCCAATCAATACCCTTGTGATTTCCTATGCCTGTCTTTACTTTAATCTCTTAATCCCGTCATCTTCTTCGTAAGCTGAGGAGGATGAATGTTGCCTCAGGACCCTGTGATGATTGTGTCAACTGCACGAATTGTTTGTAGAGCGTGTGTGTTTGAACAATATGAAATCTGGGCCTCTTAAAAAAAGAACAGGATAACAGCGATATTCAGGGAACAAGGGAGGTAACTTTGAACTGGCCACTGGTGAGCTGGATGGAACAGAGCTATATTTCTCCTCTTTCAAAAGCAAATAGGAGAAATATTGCTGAATTCTTTTTCTCAGCAAGGAACATCCCTGAGAAAGAGAATGCATCCTGAGGGTAGGCCTATGAACGGCCCCCTCAAGACGTGCCTTCTTTTATGGTCAAAGCCGAAGGGATGAAATAAGCCCAGTCTCCTGTAGCGCTCCAGGCTTATTAGGACGAGGAAAATTCCTGCCTAATAAATTTTGGTCAGACAGGTTGTCTGCTGTCAAACCCTGTTTCCTGATAAGATGTTATCAATGACAATGCGTGCCCGAGACTTCATTAGCAATTTTAATTTCGCCCCATCCGGTGGTCCTATGATCTTGGTCCTGTGATCTAGCCCTGCCTCCATTTGCTTTGTGATATTTTATTACCTTGTGAAGTATGTGATCTCTGTGACCCACACCCTATTCGTGCACTCCCTCCCCTTTTGAAAATCGCTAACAAAAACTTGCCGGTTTTTCAGCTCGGGTAACATCACGGATCCTGCCAACATGTGATGTCTCCCCTGGACACTCAGCTTTAAATTTCTCTCTCTTGTGCTCTTTCCCTTTATTTCTCAAACCAGCCGAGACACTCAGGAAATAGAAAAGAACTCACAAAACCATCAGGAGTGGGTTCTCCTGACAGTGAGCCATGGCACCCGGCCCAATCCAGCTTTTTGTTTGGGACACCAAGAGACTGGAACTGCATGGCACCATCTGGCAACATCTTGGTGTCCAGAGTTATTGGAGTCGTCACAGAGCCGTGGGATGCTGGCGTGGCTGACCTTAGCTACTCCATCTCCATCGACTCCAGATGTGAAACTGATAGAGTGTGGCCCAAGGACCCACTCGGAATCACATTATTAGTATAAACTGCCTGGCATGGCCCAAGGCCCCAAGTATACAAAGATACTGTTTTCAGGCAGGATATTCCAAGGGCATAGAGGTTAACTCCCAGGAGCTGTCAAGTGCCAGTCCTTTCTTTGAACTATGCAGGGTTTGAAATATTGCTGAGTTACCATTTTTCTGCATATTGAGTTTTGCTAGTTTTCCCACTAATGTTCTTTTTCTAGTTTAGGATTGAATTCAGGATCTCACATTGCATTTAGTTGTCCTGTCTACATGAAATAGTATAGTTCCTCAGTCTTTGTCTTTTCTGACCACGATACTTTGAAGAGTACTGGTCAGGTGTCTTGTAAATGTCTTTCCATTTGAATTTGTCTGCTGTTTTCTTGTGATTGGATTGAAATTAAGTTCTTGGTGGTTTTTTTTTTTAATATTTGGTTTACCACACCCCATGCACACAAAGTTTTTTTTGTCTATTAAGATGCATCCACTTGCCACATGATATTCTGCTTCACTGATAGTCAGAAATTGGATTCCTCATAGGTGGTATTAATATGCTATTTTGTATTCTTCTTATTTTTATACTTTAAAAATATTTAATTTATTTATTTATAATTGAAAAATTAAGATAGTATATATTTATCATGGACAATCAGGTGTTTAGAAATATGTATATGCACTGTGGAATGGCTAAATCAAGCTAATTAACATGTTCATTACCTCACATAC